AATAAGAATTGGAAAAAATCCTAATAGTAGAGCAATTTATAGAAATGAAAGAAATAATAAAAAAGATCATCTTTATAAAAGTAGAAGAACCTGCTGTGAACTTAAAATGACTGTGTAATATTCAAATTTTGTAAAATATTGATAAAATGATAAATCCTTAAATTTTATTAATTTGAAAACATTAATACCACAAGAATATTTTTTTTATTCTTAGAAGGGGGTCCATAGATGTTCTGAGGAAATTAGTCCATTCCAAAATCTCTCCATCGATTTGCATATATTAAATAAACATAATGGAGTAGGATCTAAAAGGATAAGCTATTTAATCTCTATAAACTACCGATGATACTGCAAGGACTAAGCGCCCTTATAATAAAATTTCTTCCGAATTACGTGCTCAAATTTTACATTCATTAACAGTTGAAAAAATACCCCTTTCTGAAGTAGTGTCTAAAAATAAACAAAGGTGGCTTAAAAATTTCAAACTAAACCTTGTACATGCAAAGCTATTTTGCTTACTTATGAATTGGAAGGAAGAAGTGAAAAAAAAACTTCTAGAAGAGAAAGAGTTGAAGTAGAATCAAAAATAAGAATTGTTATTTTGGACCCTTTTGGAAATAAACATTCAACTTATGAAAATGCTAAATTTTCAAAAGTATGTACTTTATATTTCATTAATAAAAATAGCTTTATACAGAAGATAAAGAACTAAGTCTGACTGAAGAATTCAACATTCAGAAAAAGGTTGTCTAAGAAGTTAGCTAACAATTAGGAGAATTGTAAACAAGTTGTTATCATTTACAATCTCAATAAAATTAGACTCAAAATGATGAACATGCTCCTGATAATATTTTAAGGGGTTTAAATATGGGTTTGCATTTAGTGACATCCAAAATTAGAGAAGGATAAATTACATTTAATAAGAAAACTAATAAAGAAATCAAAGAAATCAATAAACAAATCCTTCAAGTTAATAATAATAATAATAACAATAATAATAATAATAATAATAATAATAATAATAATAACAATAATAACAATAATAATAAGAATGAAATACCATTTTAAATAAATTACACCTAAATTTAATAATTTTTGAAGAGTGTTGAAATTAAATAAGAAAGCAATCCATATATTTTAGACTAATTGAACCAATTAACTAATTAAACTATTTTGTAGATGAAATTAATATAAAAAATTCAGTAAAGGGATTCTTAAATAAGATAATTTCAATAACAAGTGGGTGTCATTATAAGAAAATGTTTCGAATGCCAATCTTGATGATATTTATAAATTATTTCTATTATCCATATTCATCCTTTTTAATTATATACTAAATCATTTAATTGTTAAATTTCATTTTTATTATATAAATTATTATTATAAACATATTTCTTGGAAATAAATATACAGAAGTTTTAGTAAATGATTCTAAATCATATATAATGATCAGAAAAAATAGGTGAATGTTGTTTAAGATTTGTAAAAGATGATTTTCCATCTCTAATCTTTATGTTTTTGAACCAGCAAAAAAAAATTATTAAGATTTAAATAAATTATATAATTTATTTTTTTTATTGATTAATTGATGTTGAGGTAAAATAAAATTAATAAAAAAGTTTTATATTTAGAGAATCTATAAGATTGAATAATTAGATATGTTCTTCAAGTATTTTCTATGATTATTTTTCGATTGAATTGAAATTTTATGAATAATCAAAAATTTCAAAGTGAAAGAATTTATAATTTATTTTTAGGAATCTTATAGTAGAGTCAGAAATAAATTAAAAAATAATCAATAAATATTACAAAGACATGCTTTAGGAATTTTTCAAACATGAAATAATAAATGCTGATAAATTGAAATGTTTAATGCGATTTTTAATACTATTTGAGTGAGAAATATAATCAATTATTTTAAGACTTTCAATTTATGTACTGCTCCAATATTAGTTCTAACTCTCTTTACAGATTATCTTAATTTTCTTTATTAAATGGCTTAATATAAGTTTCTTTTAAATTCATATTGTTATATTCTGCAAATTAAAATTTGTTTCGATTTTCAGCCAAATTTGTTTCTTATCCTGTAAGAATACAATCATTCTATTCAGGTTCAATGACTAATTAATATTAAGGTTTTTTTTTCTTTTTCTTAACTTTAATCTAGTTTGTTTCTGTTATACCTTATTATCCCTAAAATTAAGGTGATACAGGTTCCATTTATTAATCTTAATTAACATCATCCAATAAAAATGATGTCTTTATTTTAGAATTTTATTTTTAAACTTGTCTCTAATTAAATGTATATGACTAAGTCTTTTTAAATAATTAATTTTATTTAGGTTCATCTAAAAATGGATGTTTCAATAATTCATCTGCTGTAGATCTTTTTTTAGGATCAATCTACAAACATTTTGATAAGAAATCTCTAGCTTCAAAAGATTGTAATTACTCTGGAATTTCAGGAGGCTAAGTAGATTTGCCTATTTTAACCATTATAGCTATTGCATCTTTATATTCAGAATAAGGTGGTTATCCTGTTGCCATTTCTATTATTGTACAACCAAGACTCCAAATATCTGCCTTCTTTCCATACTATTCTTAATTAATTACTTCTGGAGCCATAAAATTGGGAGTTCCACATATAGATCCTAAACTATCATGAGTTATATCACTCAATTATTTACTACTTCCAAAATCTAGCATTATATATTTAAATACCTGCTAACTTACATCGACCAGAATTATCAATTAAAATATTTCCTCCTTTTATATCTCTATGAATAACATTCTTTCCATGTAAATAACTTAATCCTAACAATATTTATTTCAAATATGTTTTAATTAGTCTTTCTCTAAAACATCCAAATCTTTCTAACAAAGTTTAAACTGAACCTCCACTTACATACTCCAAGAATATATTTATGAATTGATTTTTCTATTCACATCCTAAGTAACGTACTATGTTTGGATGTTATAATTTACTCAACATTTCAATTTCTTTTTATAATTACTTTACTCTCTACACTATTTATATACAATACATCATCATTTTAATTCTATATGAATACTTATTTCACTGCCATTATTTATCCATTCTTCTAGAGTCCCATAAATACTTTTCCAAAAGCACCTTATCCAAGTACTTCTCCTTATTCCCAATTATGAATACTTTAAAATAATATTTTAATTATTATACTCTTAATCTGATTTGAGTGAATGTCTCTCTATCTCTTCTTCTTCTGGATTACCAATTATTATAACTTCCATATCTTGAATAGATGATTATCCAAGTTCTTATGGTTTCTCATTTGGATCATTTTTTTTTATGTATTCATAAACTTGAGGTTTTAGTTGGCTCTTCTTTTTTGTAAAGCAGCAACCCATTTTTTATATTTTTAATTTTATGATAAAGCATATAAATTAAAATTTGAAGGTTGAAAAATATTTATTAAACAATTAGATAATTTTAGACAGAAATGTAATAAAATCTAAAATTATAAATTGCATAATCTATTAGAAATGAAGTCATAAATTAAATAAATTAAGTCACCATGAAATGTTATTTAAATTTATATTAATTCCAAAATTACATTTATAATAATAATGGAATACGGAATTTTATTTATGTTTTTCATAACCGTAGCAAGTTTTAACTATATACCAGAAATAGAAATAAATATAAGTGATACTCCTAAACTACGATGGAAAAAAGCTGTTAGAACAATCCTTAATCTATATGGATATGATAATTCTTTTGGCCCAGTTTTTGAATTCCATAATAAAAATACATTCTATATACTATAACCATAAGACTATATAACAATAGCTTAGGCAATAAGAACACATTACCCTGAATACTCATTAGAAATAGATGGAATTGTAGAGGAATTTAATAGAAATGAAATAACTTTTGAATATTTATCTGTCTGGGCATATTTTGATGAAATAGCACATATTTCAAGTGATCTCAATTAAAGCACAGGAGTTTTATTATCAGTTGCTGATTAAATTATACATGGAAGAAATATGGATTAAGCTCCAGGTTAAGCAAGAAATATAACTCTACATTTGATCATTAAATAGGATGGAAAGTATTTAGGTGAATCAGTTGAATAGTTTTGGTTTAAAGTAGGATTCAGTACTTTACTTAAATATAATACTGCATCACTCTAATTTAATTAGAGATAAGGTGATCCTTTAACTAAAGATTAACTCTTAATATTTATTTAATCAGGAGTACCTTCTTTAGGTTGGACTTATAGATATGTTTTACAAAATGATAATTTAAACACATTTAATAGAGTTGTCACCTATCTTGAATAAAATCAAGTAGCTTGTTCACTTTATAATATTATTGGAGGAACTAGTAGAAATCAGGGAGTGATTATCTCTAGAGATCCATTTGATATGTATCCAACAATTAGTTTAAATACATCTATCCTGGGACAAACCTATTATTAATACTTAGTATAAACTAATTATGATCATTGGTTAACTGATCCTTTCAATGATCAAAGACGAACAATTGCTGAAAATTTGTTGGCTTAGTTGTAAAATAATCTATGGAATGAATTTGGAGTTTTTACTGTTATGGATACTTTTCCAATCCATAATGAATCTACTTTCTATACTATTATAATGAATGCTAAATATAATAGATTGATAGCTTTTGGATAATCTAGTATAACCTAAGTTGAAAATTGATAATTTATATATTTAAATATTAATAAATAGATATATTAACAAATAAATTATTATATTTCAATCTCAAAAAACATAAAAGGAAGAAAATGATTGGCTATGTAATATTTATGTGAAAGAAATGGAACTAATACTAATTCTAACTATCTATAAAAGGAAATATGTATTAGAATAGTGTAGAATTTGCGCACATTGAGAAAGTTTAAAATTATAGATATAAGGGAATGGAATTGAAGATGTATGGAAGATAAGATAATTTAATATAAAATTTGAATAGATTAAATGTGAATAGTGTTCTTATAGATTTAAAATGCGAATTGAAACAATAAATAGAACAGATTTAAAGAGATTATTCAAAAGTACTAATTACTCTTATTAGCGGTTTTTTGGTATCATTCTATTAAACTTAGCCTTATTTATAGAATCCCAATTATCAAATTTAGGTGCATTGATGATTATTATAATGATATTATATCTCTTTTTTCTTGATTATTTTGTGGTTAGCATATATCTTCTTTATTAATTAAAATGATTGAAAATTAGAACCTATTTTCATTTAAACTATGAGATGTATGTAAGGTAGCTTTTATCATTTGTAATGTTAAAAGGGAAACAGTTTATCAGGAAGTCCATCAGCAAGAAGAAGGACTACACAATTATAAAAATATCCACCTTTAGGTTTTCTAAGTTATATAATTTATCTAATTGATGACTAGGGGTAATCTCTTTTAGTAATGAAACAATTTTCAAAATTATCTACTATTTTCTTTTTATAATTTATTTCATATGGCAAATAATGATAACAATGATACATCAACTTAAAATAGTAAATTTGCTTAATTGAATTCTTCTTTACAAATCCTTAACGAAAGTATAAACACTCAAATACCATAATTTCGATAAAAGGTCCTTAAAACTATTTATTCAAAAGTAAACTTATATTAAAATTAAGGATCCTGTGAGAAGAAAATAAATTGCTTGTCGAATTTATATTAATGATTTAGACTCTGTGCCTGGATATAAAGTATCAAAAAGTATCTGTGCATTCATATTCAGAATAAATATGCAGAATCTGCATTTGTGAAGAAGAAACCTCTAAATTTATTGCTCCCTGTAAATGCAAAGGAACATCAGAATTTGTTCACTAGGAGTGTTTAAAAATGTGGATCTTAGAATAATATGGAGTTAATAAAATATATAATGATGAGGTAATTTATTTAGTATTATTTTGATTATAGTTATTTTGTGAAGTTTGTCAACATAAATTCGATTTTGATGTCGATTTTAATGATAAATTTGACATCAATTAATTTAAAAGAATTAAAAATAAAACAAAACTTTGTTGGCTCATTTAAATATTCTTTATTATTCTCTTTATTTTTGGATCAATTCAAATATCATTAAGTTTTGGAATCGATTCTTTAGCCACTGTTGCCATCATTGTAGTATTTGGTTTAATTACTATATCTTTAATTATTTATTTGGCCTTTAATTGTAGTACAGCTCATACTGTTCAAATGATTGAAAATTGGAATTTCTAAAATTTTAAACTAAAACCTTTACCTCAAAGAATATAAAAGAAAACAAAAAAGACAACCAATAACTTCATACGAATTAATCAAATATCATATACTTGATTATAATAATTAATAATAACTAATTATAAATTTATTCAAATGTAAGGACTTCCGCAAAAAAAATGTCAATTGCTATTTAAAGAGTAGATGCCTCTTAAAAAAAAGAGTTCTTAACATTTAAAATTAAAGACACTCACTTTAAATAATTGGAAATCAAAGGAATTAACTTCATAATTATTAAGTCCAATTAAGTATTCACCACCTCCAATTATGGAAGCTAGAAGTTAATCAAGAGCTAATTTCTTTTAATCTTAGCATATAATAATAAAAATATTTGATGGAAAACCTAATACTATAAAAAAGCAATATTTCAATATCTGATCATCATTTATATACAATATTTGATACCATAATAGATTATTTTTCTTTATTTCAAAAAATTAATAAACCAACAAAAGGTTTCTATTTGTAAAGGATAATACAAAAAAAATTGAGATTTATTTATTATTTTTAGCTTAAATTCTATAAAATGAACTTTTATGAGACAAAAATGGCTTTATTTAAGAATATCTAGGATATTCAGTAAATTTATCTGTAGAAATATAATTTTATTTCTTGTTATATCTAATTTAGTTAAGATTTCTGACTATTTTCATCACTAATTCTAAAAGTGTTAAATTGATCTTCTATATATGCTAAAATAAATATATAAATAATAAATTATTTGTTTAAATATTAAGAAAAAACTGAATTTTTTAGTCCAATAATTTAGTATTATAATATTACTCGATTTTTAACAAAGTCAGCTTTAAAATAACTAATAAAAAATATTTTATCAATATTTTAAAAATCTAATAGAAGAAAAATGATTTTTGATTATATATTATATGTTAAAAACATTTCTTATCTGTTTCTATGTTTGCAGATCACATTAGAAAAACTCATAAAGGATTACAAAACAAAAAAGCTAGAATGTTTAATAGTGCATTCTTTAAATTCTAAGATTTAGGTGAAAAAGATTATCATTTAAGTTCTAAAGAAGCTTTTAAACTATAAGAAATACAATATAAAACTTTGGGCTAAATTCACATCTGATTTAGAAAGAATTATAAAAGGTCATGAATCTTTCATAGAATCTAAATTTGAATATGTTCTAAGAATTGTTGGAGAGGATGTTGATTATTACAAAAATGTAGGTGTTTATTCATAAATAGCTAAAGATATTATGATCGCGGCTTATTTTAAAATGATATCTAAAATATAAGTTCCAACATCTTAAAATATTTAAGATAATAACGTAATCATGAGATTTTATTGGTATATAATATTCAAACAATTATAAAAATCCCTTTTAATTTAATATATTAAATTTTATTTAACTCTATTCTTTCTCTTTATATCTACTATTCATTATACTGATATTAAGTAAAATTTCAAATGAATAAATTAATTAATAATGTATTATTCTAATTATCAGAAGAATTAAAGAATAAAGGAATTATCTTAAAATTGAAATAAAAAACAACATAAAGAAAGTGAAAATCTTAAATTCAATGAAAAGAATAATGATTCTATAAAAATATGATGCAAATTATTATTATGAATAATAATAATAATATAATATATAATTATTGAATGATTATTATTCAATGTTTCTTTTTTCTCCATGAATTGACCTTATCTGTTAGCCAATCTTAAGTTAAAAGTGTAATCATTGTGTGAGGAGCAATTCTGAAATAAAATGTTGGGAATCCTACCCATAGTCCAATAATACCTTCTCTTTTAGCTGTCTATTAATATTTATTTTTGTTACTTTTCCCATAGCATCAAAAATAGAAGAATATGGATATACACCTGCTGCATCTTTTTTCATTTTCTACATTTTAGTTTTAGCATTATCAAAAGGTAATGCACAAAATGAACTCAAAAACCCGGCTGCTGCAGATGCTCTATTAGAAATATATTATAAAAATATACAATAATCTAGTTTATTGAGTATCTTTAGTTCCAAAATAATGATTTAATTGCTCTTTTATCTCATCATAAGGTCCCAACATAGCTACATTAATAACAATTGCTCTTATAACTGTTGGAGTAGATCCTCTCCATAAAGCTACTATTCCTTCATCTTTTACAATTTTATAAAATGCATCAAAAACATTTTTATATCCTCTTCTTTCTTCAACAGGTAATGTACTATCTGCTTAAATTCTTACCAAAGCTAAATCTGCTGGATTACCTGCTAATGAACCCAAGAAACCTGCTACAATTGAACACCAAGATTTAGCTAAAAATGAAGGCTCTTTTCCATTATTTGCTTGCTTTGATCTTTAATACATTGTCTTATATATTCCCATACGAGTGGTAGTGTAAAATACTTATCTAGCTATTGCTGAATCAATTCCTTTCCAAAAACTTAATACACCACCTTCTTTTAAGATTTCAGAGAAGACACGAAATGGACTGATCTCGCTACCTGCATTAGGACCCAATTTTTCTGATTTGAGTTGAATTCTAACTTTTACTAAGTCAACTGGTTAAACAAAACACGTAGCCACACATCCAGATGAACCCCCTATGATAAATGGTTAAATAGTATCAGTAAGTTTAGTCAGCCAATGCTTCTCAAGAACGTTTTCACTCATATTTGATGCGTATTATTGTATTTATTATGAAAATTAACAAATGATATATATTTTCCAATAAATCCAATTATTTATTATATAAATAAATCATTTTCCTTCCAAAAAATGTACATTCTACTTTATATAAAATTTATCTTCAATTTTTTATCAAAATTAATCCTATTCATTTCCCCTATTTTAAAATCATTGAATCTATTCTAAAATTAGTTTTACAATTTTAATTTAGAAATTATATAATTTTATATGAAATTGAAATTATTTCATTTATAATCAACATACTTAGTTGTGTTTCTAATTTCTATTAAAATATTAATACAAATAACATTCAATTAAATACTTTATATTCATATCTCTATTAACAATTATAATATCTACTCTATATACTCATCAAAATTTAATATAAAAAAGCTAAAAACATTATCGATTATTTTTAGATTTTCATATTTGGGTTACCTTACTTAAGATTTTGAATAACATCTTATTTCTCCACTGTTTTAATAAGATAATATGCAATCTATTTATTAGATTATCATCTAATAAATAGATTGATAAATTCAGAGATATATCGATATATATATATATAGTTTATTAGTGGATTTCGAAATAAACAAAATTTTTAAATAAATTTAAATTCATCTTGATCTAATGGCTTAATGTTATAAAGGTTTTACATGGACTATATGTAAAAACGCTTTGAAACTAAAAATTCTTTCATAAATTTAATAATACTCAAACAATTCAGGATGGAATTGGCATAAGAGCTGGAATATTCCAAATATTTCGGTCAAAATTTCTATATAAGAGGAAGAATGCACATATTGAATCAATTGTTAAGTATCTTAATTAAGTCTAATTTTAGGTTTAATTAATGGCAGTGAAGGTATTGCAAACTGACCTTTTTGAAGAAGTTGGATTAGAAGGAATTATATTGTAACTTTTAAACAATAGATGGGTATTTTTTAAAAACAAATTTAGAGAGTGAAATTTAACTGCACTACCTATAATCACTAAGGGATTTGATTTTAGTTATTAACTTTACTCAAAGAGAAAGAGAACATTATTGCTTGCATACAATCACCACCTGTTTTTGTAGACAGGAGGAAAAGTGCTCAAAATTAACATAGATAAATCTAATACATCTAAACTTTCAAACCTTAATATTTAGAGGGTAACTTTATCAAAAAAGAAAAACATTTTAAAGAAGTAATTGATATTCTAATTGAAAATAATGATAATGGATCATTCAATTATTTTATAGCCCCAAATATAAGAAATCAAGTATAGATAGATCGTTATCTAAACTAGATTAAACATCCTTTATTTATGGATTTTAAATTTTCTAAATGTTTATATATATNTTATTATGAAAATTAACAAATGATATATATTTTCCAATAAATCCAATTATTTATTATATAAATAAATCATTTTCCTTCCAAAAAATGTACATTCTACTTTATATAAAATTTATCTTCAATTTTTTATCAAAATTAATCCTATTCATTTCCCCTATTTTAAAATCATTGAATCTATTCTAAAATTAGTTTTACAATTTTAATTTAGAAATTATATAATTTTATATGAAATTGAAATTATTTCATTTATAATCAACATACTTAGTTGTGTTTCTAATTTCTATTAAAATATTAATACAAATAACATTCAATTAAATACTTTATATTCATATCTCTATTAACAATTATAATATCTACTCTATATACTCATCAAAATTTAATATAAAAAAGCTAAAAACATTATCGATTATTTTTAGATTTTCATATTTGGGTTACCTTACTTAAGATTTTGAATAACATCTTATTTCTCCACTGTTTTAATAAGATAATATGCAATCTATTTATTAGATTATCATCTAATAAATAGATTGATAAATTCAGAGATATATCGATATATATATATATAGTTTATTAGTGGATTTCGAAATAAACAAAATTTTTAAATAAATTTAAATTCATCTTGATCTAATGGCTTAATGTTATAAAGGTTTTACATGGACTATATGTAAAAACGCTTTGAAACTAAAAATTCTTTCATAAATTTAATAATACTCAAACAATTCAGGATGGAATTGGCATAAGAGCTGGAATATTCCAAATATTTCGGTCAAAATTTCTATATAAGAGGAAGAATGCACATATTGAATCAATTGTTAAGTATCTTAATTAAGTCTAATTTTAGGTTTAATTAATGGCAGTGAAGGTATTGCAAACTGACCTTTTTGAAGAAGTTGGATTAGAAGGAATTATATTGTAACTTTTAAACAATAGATGGGTATTTTTTAAAAACAAATTTAGAGAGTGAAATTTAACTGCACTACCTATAATCACTAAGGGATTTGATTTTAGTTATTAACTTTACTCAAAGAGAAAGAGAACATTATTGCTTGCATACAATCACCACCTGTTTTTGTAGACAGGAGGAAAAGTGCTCAAAATTAACATAGATAAATCTAATACATCTAAACTTTCAAACCTTAATATTTAGAGGGTAACTTTATCAAAAAAGAAAAACATTTTAAAGAAGTAATTGATATTCTAATTGAAAATAATGATAATGGATCATTCAATTATTTTATAGCCCCAAATATAAGAAATCAAGTATAGATAGATCGTTATCTAAACTAGATTAAACATCCTTTATTTATGGATTTTAAATTTTCTAAATGTTTATATATATACATAATTGTCTTTTAATCAAATAACAATAGAATCAGAAAGAAGGGATTATTTTTTTCAAATTTAGATTAAAAATCATTAACTTAATTGTTTGGATAAAGTAAGTTAATTGTTATTAAAAGAAAATTTCTTGATGAAACATAATTTGAAAACTTGAAATCTCTTCACAAGATTATTCTTTAATCTATAATTAATTATTACAAATGATGAATTAATTTTTCATAACATTAATATTACGAATCAGCTAATAATAACAATAAATGTAAAAAGAATAATAGTAAATTTTAAAGATTGAGCATTAATAATAACCTATGCAAAACTAAATCTACAACTTTAAAAACCTCCTAAAATTTTAACTCATTGAGAAGAAAAATTAGCTTTTACAAAATACCTTTATATATTGGCAACTAAAAAATTTGAAGGAAAATAATTGGACTAATTTAAAAAATAGAAAAAATCAATTAAATTCTAACTATGGAATATTATATTGAGGAAGATCTTAATTAAATGGAGGAAATAATAATAATAATATTTATAATATACATACTTAAATAATATAAATTCAATTAATCATTAGCTTTCAATGCTGCTCCAATAAAATCTACAAGAATATTTCTCCAGTATTATTTAGTAGAAGTTAATGCTATTTATAAAGCTCTCTTCTATGTGATATATTTCTATATTCAATCAATATAATTAATTTCTTTAATACTTAAATAAAATTTTTATCAAATCCATTAATAGAAATATTAATATATTAAAATTTTAATGGAATATTAGCTTTATCAGGCTCCATAGACTTAAGAAATCTTATCCGTTCCAATAACACTTATTGATGGTACCTCTTCTATGAATAGAGAATACAAATATATCATATAAACTTACGAATAAGAATTTGGAGATTTGTAGGAAAATCAAAGAAGACAATTCTAATGGTCATATGATTTACACGATATTTATCCATACTTAAACGAAACACGAGGAAATTTAACTACTGTAATGGCTTAATTATTTAAATTTATGCTTTCAACTACTTAATTTCCTTTTCAATATGTGACAATCATTTTAGTTTCAGATGGAAGAGAATAATTTGATATCAATGCTATCATGGAATTATGTCAATTAATAAAATCTCGTTATTCTGTATAATTTCTATGTATTTCAATTGGTAATTAATTTCCCAAAAATATCATTCAAAGCTTAAAGTAAAATATTGAAAATTAAGATTATACTTATAATCCATTATATTAAATTACACGTTCTGATCATCAAAGTTATCTTCAAATTTAATAAGAGTTAAAATTAGCTTTTTAATATATTAGAAAATTATTAGCAATAACACCTTAATATCACTAATTATGTTTTGATATTTATACATCGATTTCCACAAAATAATCTTAAAAATATGTTGCATCAAATGAATTATTTTTAGCATAGGCAGATTAAAAAATTATTATACAAAATTAATAATTAGTAAAATGCGATGATCCTAATTTAATTTTATAATTTTTCAGAAAATCTATAGAAAATACTTTTCAAAGATATGAGTTACTTTAAATTAATGAAATCATTGATGAATTTAAATCCACTTTTACATTATTGCATAAACTCAATATAGGGATTACATAAAGTGAAGAAAATTCTCAATAATTAGAACTAATTCAATTAATTTTGAAAGTTCTTGAAAAAATAGCTACATCAAGCCCCTAAGATGAAGCTTTATATTAATATATTTAATAATTCAAAATTAGAATTAACAGCGAAAATCCAGAAAATATTTAGGAATTACTTGAATAGCCTAAAAGTGATAATTTAGAGGATTAAATAAACAAATTGTAATTACAAATTTAGAGGAGTTTTGAAAATTTGTTTAATTTGAATTCTCAAAACAAACAGAAAATTTCTTTTGATTGTTTTGAGGAATTTAGAAAAATATTTACTAATTGTATAAAAAAATTTTGTGAATTATTTGAAAATTTCTAAGAATAAAAGATGACAGAAATTTAAGTGCTGATGACATCTTTTATTACTTATACAGAAGCTTTTTTTTCCTCAGAAATTTTCAATATATCAACAATTGAGCAATTTTAATTCCTGATTAACGTTAATGAATAGTTTTAAATTCTAAACTCATTAAAAACTGAAATCAATATTATTAAATTCAAGAATATAATGGAAAATTTTAAGAAAATGGATTTTGAAATTAATCATTAAATTGATCCTTATATTTAATTAAATTAACTTCCTTAAAATAATAAAAAGAATGATGAAATATTGTCTGAAAAATTTCTTATTTTTTTAATCGATAAGAATGAAACTTTAAAGACATACAGTGATTCCTTGTTAAAATGTTATTTAGAAATATTTTCAAAGGTCCCCCCAAAAAAGCGATTAGAAATCAATTGGCATAATAACCCAACAAACAATTTCAAGATTATAAGCAATTAGGAATTTGAAAAATTACAATATGAATCTTTTAAAGAATTACTAGATTTTTTGTAGGACAAACTCAAATTAAAAAATAAACTCATTCATCTAATCATTTTGACTGATAGTGAATAATATTATGAAAAATTACATCTTTAAATTAGGTTTGCCTAAATGTCTCAATATAGTTTTAAAATCATTTACATATCAATTGGAATAAAAATTCAAACTTATTTAGAAAATTATATGTTCAAAATCAGATAATCTTTAAAAAATAATTATTAACTCATCAAAAACATTCCAAAATAATTGATTACTTAAGATCAAAAACCTATTGGTGAAGAATAGTCAAAATAAATCAGAAAAAATCATATTAGAATTATACAAGAAATAGCAACCCATATAGATGCGGCAAACTTTTGAAAGTAAAAAGGTGAAAATATGAAATAAATTATTNAGGAGTTTTGAAAATTTGTTTAATTTGAATTCTCAAAACAAACAGAAAATTTCTTTTGATTGTTTTGAGGAATTTAGAAAAATATTTACTAATTGTATAAAAAAATTTTGTGAATTATTTGAAAATTTCTAAGAATAAAAGATGACAGAAATTTAAGTGCTGATGACATCTTTTATTACTTATACAGAAGCTTTTTTTTCCTCAGAAATTTTCAATATATCAACAATTGAGCAATTTTAATTCCTGATTAACGTTAATGAATAGTTTTAAATTCTAAACTCATTAAAAACTGAAATCAATATTATTAAATTCAAGAATATAATGGAAAATTTTAAGAAAATGGATTTTGAAATTAATCATTAAATTGATCCTTATATTTAATTAAATTAACTTCCTTAAAATAATAAAAAGAATGATGAAATATTGTCTGAAAAATTTCTTATTTTTTTAATCGATAAGAATGAAACTTTAAAGACATACAGTGATTCCTTGTTAAAATGTTATTTAGAAATATTTTCAAAGGTCCCCCCAAAAAAGCGATTAGAAATCAATTGGCATAATAACCCAACAAACAATTTCAAGATTATAAGCAATTAGGAATTTGAAAAATTACAATATGAATCTTTTAAAGAATTACTAGATTTTTTGTAGGACAAACTCAAATTAAAAAATAAACTCATTCATCTAATCATTTTGACTGATAGTGAATAATATTATGAAAAATTACATCTTTAAATTAGGTTTGCCTAAATGTCTCAATATAGTTTTAAAATCATTTACATATCAATTGGAATAAAAATTCAAACTTATTTAGAAAATTATATGTTCAAAATCAGATAATCTTTAAAAAATAATTATTAACTCATCAAAAACATTCCAAAATAATTGATTACTTAAGATCAAAAACCTATTGGTGAAGAATAGTCAAAATAAATCAGAAAAAATCATATTAGAATTATACAAGAAATAGCAACCCATATAGATGCGGCAAACTTTTGAAAGTAAAAAGGTGAAAATATGAAATAAATTATTGAATATGTATTTTAATAATGATCTTATTTTCATAATTGAATCTAAAGGGGAAAAAATAAATTTACTTAAGTTCTGTAGATATAAATTGTAGTTTCTTTATTTATTCTTAAAAACAATTTAAATGAAAATTATAAGTAATTCACTTTAAGATATTCGTTTAATCAAAAAATACTAATTAAAATATAAATTTTAGTTTTTTATAAATAATATAGATTAGACAACTATTATTTTATAAAATTGTTTTATTAATTTATAATAATAAAATAAATAAACTTTATGATTGTAAATTTTGGATAAAAATTTAACTATTTGTTTAATATTTAATTTTACACTATAAAAAATTTCAAATAATATACTTTTAACAGAAAAATTCTTTGTATTATTTAATAAATACCATTTAATTTTTTTGGTATGTAACTTTATTTTATAAAAAAATATTATATTAAAAATCATTTTTTTTTTCAAATTATGGTTTTTTTAACTTAATCTATGGATATACCATAAATTTTTGATTTATAATCATCAAGTTTTTAGAACTTAAATTTATGATAAATTAGATTTGTATTATTTATATAATATTAATATCTTTTACTATAACTAAAAGATAAAGTTAAGTTAAATTTATTTTGATGTTTTATGATTTTGATTATTAAATTGTAAGATAAATATTTTTCTAGAATCATCAAGATATATATATTTAAATATAAAATTTTCAAAGATTCATTTTTTAACATTCATCAAATTTTTGATTTTAATAAAACTCTCTTTAACGCTTTAAAAATATCCTTTCATACGACATTTGAGTTAATCAGCTTCTTCGAGATCCAAGTTTTCTTTAATATCAAATTTATCAACCCTAAATATTTGATTAGGGTTTCTTTTCATTTCATTATCTACTTCTCGTTTAATTTAAGCCATTTATTTTGCAAACATCATTTCAAAATCATTCTTTTTGAATTTTTATGAAGGGCTCACCGAAATTTAAATTTTAGGAGCAATTTCTTCTATTTTGTGGTTGGATTTTGATTTAATTAATATATTAGGTAAGTGTTTAGGAGAAGGATTTGGATTATAAATACCAAGAGCTGGTATTTAAAAAGCTAAAGACTTGGTTTTTCTGCTTAAGAGTGAGGCCTTTGATTGTAAAGAGTTTTTGTTCAATTTTTTTAGTTATTAACCTATTTCAATAGAATTTTGGTTCAATTTATATTTTGATTGTTTAATTGCTAAAACCTATGTTGGAAGTTAAGGTTAATAAATTAATGGTAAATGTGGTATTGTTTATGATTGAGTTATGAATTTTGAATAATCTGATTCAGTGTTTAGTTTATTAAAATTAAGTATATCACTATTAGAATAAGAATGATCAGTGTAATTTTATTTATTGTTCTTTTTATTTTTAATACAATTAGGATCATTTGGTTTAATCAATTTTCCAATTTTATCTCTTTCTTTTTGAAATGGAATGAAATGATCAAGAAGCACTTCATTTGATTAAGGCTATTCCCCAAAAGGATAATAAGAAGAGCCATTCTATAAGTAATCTAAGATAACATTTTTTTGCATTAATAATATTAATAAGATTAATTATGTTGTTTATATGATTATTTAAAAGTGAATATTTGATTAGAAACAAAAGAAATAGAGAAGAAGATTGGTAAGTAAAAAGATTAAATAGATGAGGTGGTTAAATTAAATATGGATGTTAAAAATAGTACGCATTTTTGGAAATTTGAGTATTAGGGTTGTGAATAGTTATAATTAATTAATTATTTTTAATATGATTTTACTTTTCGCATTAATTACATAAATCATAGCAGGTATGTGAATTTAGTAAATTCATAGATTTCATATACCCTGATCGTGCAAATCCAATTGTACCTTATAGGAATAATGAAGATGCTTATACTTTTTACGATATTTTCTTATCAGTGAGTACAAGAATTGCTTCAAATGGAAGATTATAAATAACTTTTCCTTAGGAATTTGATGGAACATAACTACGTCTATTACAGGATGACATAATGGGGGTAAGGATGTTTTAATAATATAAAAATAGGCAGCTAATATAGACAAGGAATGTTACATAGAATACACATTTTCAACAACGACAAAATGCATACCATATGTTGAGCCTCCAGTGACTATACCAGCAACAAATTATTATACAGCTAGCAATAGAACTATTACAATATTTTTTGGATCAGAACCTCTAAATGCTGGAAGCTAGAAGGTCAGAATAAAATATAACAAAAATCCAGTAGGATTAGGAGGGAAATCTAGTGGTTTTTTATAAATAATCACTTTACGAGATACTGTTCCTGTTGATTAGAATTTAAATTTTGGGACAGTTGGCTTCGCTCCTGTGTATGAAAAACATACTTTAGGTAAGAATAATAATAATATCAATTAGCATCTGAAGGTTAAATAATAAATGATGGTTCAAAATTAGGAGGTTATGTTACAAATTATGTTATTTAATTTACTACTAAAATAGATTTAGTAAAAGGATGTTGGTTTAGAGCTGAAATAGCAGAAGGATTTGATATATCAAATGTAGAATGCGTATTGGTAGATACATAATAAGATTTAAATTGTTAAGTAGAAGGAAGAAGAATATACTTTAGTGCCATAAATGCAGCATTACCTAAAGGTTAGCATAAAGTAAAATTGAAGAATGTTATAAACCCATCTGCATCTGGTAATTCAGACCCATTCATCTTTGAAACATTAGAACCTCTAGTTAATACAGTTATAGAATATTTCAATGTAGGAGTAACATCAATAACACCTGGACAGATTATTAATCCATCAATTGCTGGAGCACCATTAAATTAGAATTTAAGAATAGATTATACAATTAAATTTACTCCATAAAATAAGATCCCTTACCCTGGAAAAATAGACTATATATTTCCAAGTCTGTAATAGACCTTTCCAAACGGCTCTACGGTTATTTATAAATTTACTTTGGATCCTACATGTAGAATAATATCTGGTTTGTCATAAAATGGAACAACTCCGATATCTTGTGTAACAAGTGGTCAAAATATAACAATTTCAGATTTTGCTTCATTTTCACCCTAAGAAATTACTCTTAAAATTTTTGCAGTAAATCCACCAGTTTCAAAATTATATCAATATTGTTAAATTTACACATATTCAACTTTTGGAAAGGTTCCAGTAATAAGTGGTTCAAGTAGCAATTATAAAGGAATCGATTAAAACGTTGAAGCAGGATCTATTTAAATTTCTGAAATACAGAGTCCTTACTTTGTTGCAATAGATTTATATAAATAAATGCAAAATATTTCTTTAGATAAAACAGGACCATTAGACTTTCGATTATATCCAATGCCTACAAAATAATTAAAATTGACTACTTCACCAACAAGTTATGGAAGTGTATATTTTTAGATTCCTTTATGGTGGAGAATGAGTGGATAACAATTTAGTGGTTGGAATGTGGTTGGTAGCACTCCAACTTGTAATTTTGGAGCAGAAATAGCAGCAACATGCAACTATTATTTATAAAGGTTTAGTTTTAAAACTGCTATATCAACTGATTATTTGAAATATGATCCATAGACAGGACTCAGTAATTGTGATTTACCTATTTCAGTGGCTGTATCTTAGATTACACCAATACCTGGAAGATTTGATTTTAGAGTGTTAACATTCAATGATGGTGTGTATAATACATTTGATTAAGTACCATTGGAATAAGATTTATATACAATGGAAATAGCAGCTGATTAATTTGTACCACCTAAAACTTATATAAAATGTACATCAGTTGATTAGGTTGATGCTGATATGGTATGTTATTCAAATGTGGTTGTGATATTGCCCATCCCTTATGAAGGAGCAATTAATTTTAATATGAGTACAGTAAATTCAACATATGAGTCATCAGCTGCATGGCCAAATGATTTGGGATTTGGATTAGGTAATGATGCAAAGAAAAGGATTCCATGTTTTGTTAGTATAAGACCCAGTCATCCTAATGTTTAATGTTGGGTGTTTTCTGGAGGAACTATAAGAAAATATGCAATTTTATAGGTACGTGGATTTAGTTCAAGAATAAATACTGGGACAAATATTTTTGTAGTAATTCCAAATGTGAAATCTTGTACTGCCTTTGATATGTAATGTTTTGTAACAGTTTCATCAGCTTGGACAACTGAATTGGATGAACCATATACAATGAATTATTTAAAATAATCAGTAGGATTTATAAAATAGGGAGATGTTTATAAAGATGTAACTACAAGTCCTCCATTATTAGCTAAAGATGTTTAAGATATAACATTGGAAGCAACATTTTAAGCAACACGAAAACAAATATGTGAATTAACAACTTGGACATTAAAATTTTAACACACAGAAGTGATTACTTCTTGTTCAACAGGAACTACAAATTATCCTTATTGTCCAAATTCAACTCCAGATCATATATTAATTAAGTTTGCTGATAAAACAAGATTTCCAAATTAATTTGGAGTATCAGTCACTAGTCCTCATGGATCAGTATTTTTAATTGATCATTTTCTTACAGGTGAGTATTATTATTTTATAATTGTAAATGCTGGAAATATAGCTGCAAATAGTCCTGTATAATTAGTTAATATTTATAATCCAATAATATATACTCCTGGAGTAGATATAAAATTAATATATTGGAATTAAAACAGGAAAATTAAAAGAATAACCTTCCCAACTTCAGCCATTTTTGTAGATGGTGGTATATTAGGTCCACCTGTATTTGATATTTTACCAAAAACTTCAGTAGGAATGAATGCTGATAGATCTTAAGCTGTTGATATGGATTTCGATTCATGGATTATATTTAGAGCAACATTTACTACTTGTCATAAGATTCCTGCAAATGGCTTAGTAGAATTAGAAGTTTAAAATGGATTAGTTGATTACACTCCAACATGTAATGTTTGGTCAGGAGTCACAAGTCCACCTAAAAGAATAGGAAATACTCATGAATGTAATTTAGTAGATGTTGGTGGAATTAAATATTATTAATTAACAAAATTCAATGAAATTCCTGTTTTAACATAATTTACATTATCATTTAGAGGTAAAACTGGATTAACTGCAACACCAACACCTGCAGCCCCTATTAGAATATAAACATATTTTGATGCTACAATTCCAACTACTACAGCTTCAAATGTTGATAATTTTTATAACACTGGTTATAATGGAATTTTAACAGGTATTGATATTACAGGTCCAAAACGTTTTCCACCAAAATTAGAATGGATGGATTTCATAATTATAAATGATAAAGCTAGAGAAGGTACAAGAGGTGAATTTTATATGCATGTTAAGACAAATCATAACATACCAAGTTATACATCAAATTCAGCTCCAAGATTAGTATTTACTTTTAATACAACTGGTATATCTATGCCACCAGGAGGTATTCCACATTGTAGATTGGATGGTCATTTAGCCAGATATTGTACTTGGGCAGGTGGAGTTATGACTATGGCTATGCCATTAAATCATGGAATGGTAGCTAATTAAGAACATTTAGTAATGTTAAGTACTAGAGGTGCTGATTATTCAGCAACATATTAAGAAGGATTACATCATAATAGAGCAGGAACTTATAAATTAAGAGTAGACACAGTTAATACTGGAACACCTCAATTTATTCGAAAAGTCATGATAATAGATCCACCTAAATTTAGAGTATTTTGGGTTTGGTCAGCTAATAAAGTTGGTTATGATCCTATTACACCTTCAGCTACTCTTTAAGGAATGTCTGTTTATAGATTATATTTTACTAATACCATAACTATTCCACCTTCTGATAATCCTGATCCAATCTCTATTATTGTACTCTTTCATAGAACTATTTGGCCTACTTTTACAAATGGATTTGAATAAGATTTAGGAACAGGATTACCTCATAGAACATAATTACCTTGTATTTAAATGGGTTTTTCATTATTACCTGGAATTACTCAATTAAAATGTAGATTATTTTATGGTAGTTATCCAAATCCAACAAAAGTAATTATTACAGATTTTGATTAAATAAATGTAAATACCAATAGTGAAATACATTTACCAAATATTTTTAATCCTAATTCAACTTATGAATTAACTAAGATCACAATTCAAGTTTAAAGAACTGATGCCATAACAGGTACAAGTGAACTTATTTTATCATCTGATTATGATTTAATTAATGGTACTTTTGGAAGAACTAAAGAATAGCCTGGCTTTAATAAATTAGCTGTTGATATTCCTGCATTAATTTAAGATGATTTATAAAATGTATGGCCTACAGCAGTAAATCCTTTCTTCTCTGTTACAACAATTGATACTGTAGCAACACTAACATTAGAATATGGAAGCAATGATTACGATATGGGTGGAGGTGCTGATATGATTCTATTTGAAATTCCACCTAATTGGGATTTACCATATGGATAAATCACTTGTTCTTTTCCTGCTGGTAATATTTGTTATTCTTATCCTTTGGGTCCATATATTGGATTATATCCAGATAGTGGAATTTCAGCAACTTAATTATAAACTGGTTCTGTTACAATTAAAACACCACCTTTTAAAGTATTAGTAGCAACCTCAGATCCACCAATTAAAATCTTTGTTTTCACTCGATCTAAATTAGTTTATGTTTATAAGATTGATTTTATTCAAGTTTTAGATGCAGTTTAAGTGTTCCCTACAGTGACATGCACATTTTGTTTTTATGAGACTATAACTGATTATACAATTACAGTAACAAATACAAAAAACATACCTACTCAAGGTGCAATAACAATTAAAATACCTACTGGGTTAATCATAAGAGAAAATGGTTGCAGAAATGATGTTTCAGGAGGATCAGTATTATCTAAAGTTGGATTTGAATGTGCTTATGATGGTGCTAATAGTTAACTTCTAATAACTGGATTTAATAAATTTATAGGTCCTGGAAAAATTTAAATAAAAGTTAGAATGGAGAATCCTGATAATACAGTAACTATAACAGAAAAATGGGAATTCAAGACATGGTATTTAAATGAAAATCCATTAAATAAATTGGTCACATATGGAGAAGCTAATTAACCAGCATTAGATGTTGCGACTGATATTGAATATTGGGATACTCCATATAGAAGTAGAGTAAGAGGAAGATCAACTCTTTATGGATCTATAGAATTTAGAATTAATTTATAAAATGATCTTGCAGCAGGAGATATTCTTTATATCAAATTTCCTACTCTTTTTAATAAGGTTAGATGCTCTTAATATTTATGTTTATGGGATGATACACCATGGTTTGATAATCATAATGATAATTTTTTGACAGCTGAAAAATGCTTATATGATAAGACAAATAGAATCTTATCTATGTACACTCCAAAAGATACTATAATAAAAAAAGATACTCTTTACAGAGTTATTATTGATACTTAAAATTCAATTGATGGAAGTAGAGGATTTGAATTACCAGATATGAATACTTATATCTTTGATGTTTACACAACTCTTGAATTAAAACACAGTGACATATTTATTCCATAATTTAAGGCATTTAAATATTTTGAAGCAATTTCTCTGATTACAAGTATGAACTCTAAGAACATGATGGTGGTTAGATTCAACATTCCTTTTCCTGTCACTATACCAGCTTCATCAGGATCATTTGCAGGAGGGTACTTAAAATTATATTTCCCAACTCTTTCGGAAGAATCAGAATATCTATATTAAGATGATTTAGGAACTGGTAAAAAAAATGGAGATTCCATTTAATGTTATGCTAGAAATGGTTTTCCTGCTTCTACAGTTCTAGAATGCAAATTATATCATGGCAATAGAGTTTTAGGATAACATGCCTACATATTAATTTAAGGATGGACAGGTGATTTAGGAACTGATCCATCTTTCACAACAGGATATTAGGAACTCTTCTCTAGAGTAAGTAGTCCCCCATGGACGGGAACTGAAAAATACTTTGAATTTGATATTGATTAATTTTATACTCCTGATCTACTTGGAGATGACAAACACATTGAAATGAGACTAGAATCCTATTCAACTAATACTCTCCAATTGTAAAGCTTTTCCTATGATATGACTTTAAAACATTATACTCCTACTACTGGATCATTACCAAAACCGACAAAATCCTCTAGTACCTTATTTGATCAATCTGTTACATTTGATTTAAAAATGTAATCAACAATCTAATTAAAGAACTCTGAAGAATACGATTTCTTCATCTTTGAATATACTTAACCTTATTTTGATCCATAACCATAAAATGTTCAATGTGAATCAGGATCTGTTTATGTTTGTAGAGTATCTTAAGGGAACAATTGGATTGTTGTTAAACCTTTAAATACTATATAAGCTCAAGCAAATCTTAAATTCAAAAATAGTAATAATCCTATTTAAGTTCCTACTACTGGTATTGTTTGTAAAGCATATGCAGTTAAAGATAGAATTATTACTTCTATTTACACTTATGCAGCAATAAATGATTATGCTTTACCAGCTTTAGCTGCAACTGCTTACAATACTATTGTAACACCAATTGATTATGCAGATAATACTACTATACCTAAAAGTACTTAAATAAGAGTAAGAGTTGAAATCACTATTCCAACTCAATCAATTACTTTACCTTATGGTTCAATTATAGATATCTTTTTACCAAGTGGTTTCTTAGCTTATGATTACTCTCTAAGTACACCAGATACTAATGCTAAATTTTCTACAGTTGACAATCTTCAAACAAGTGTTGTAGCATCTTCTGCAATTACTGGTTACACAGGAAGACCACAGCTTACTATTACTGGATGGGAACCTATCAAAGTAGGAGAAAAAATTATATTTGAAACATATTGCAAAACTTCATCTGCAGCTTTAAGTCCTGCTCTATGGAATTTCAAAGCTTGGAGAGATGCAGGTAGAACAATTGAATTGTGGACTTCAACTGCATCTGCATTTAATGTTTAGTCTTATGCATCTTTTAAAACACTTGAATGGAAGACCAAAGACCCTACTGTAGCAAGAAAGAATTAAGTTTCTCCATTGAGTTTTCATATATCTTTCAAAACAACTCCAACTGCTAATACTAAAATTACTATTAGTTTCCCAGTTCTAGCAACTGTTTCTGTTCCTCCTGATGCTGTATTATATTGTACTATAGAAGGAACAACAGGATTAATTCACAAATTTGCTTATTGTTATGGAACTAATTCTTTAGATATCATCATGTAGATGCCAGTCTCTCCTGTTACATTTGTAGCTAATACTCTATATAAAATTACAATTAGTTCAAGAGGTAATAGTATAAATCATGGATTACTTTTTGGTGCTAGTGGAGTATTTAGTGCTACACTTACATAAGATAATGGAGATGCAGGAACATTAAAATTTGAAATATTACCAACCGAATAATTTGCATCTTCTTAATTAAGAATTGTAAATTCAGGAATTAAGTCTTCTGGATTCACAGAAACAGCCTTGTTATTCTCATTTACTACTTCAGTTTTGATTCCTAAATCAGGTAAAATAGTTATTGCTTTTCCCAATTTTGCTATTGATGACACTACAGTATTATTCTAAGAAAATATTATATAATCTGTTGTTTATAATAGTGGTGATTTATATCCTGGATGTTATTCAACTAATTTAGTTTTATATAACAACGGTTTAAATTGTAGAATCTTTAAAAACTCAGGTGATTATGCTTAAACCTTAATTGTTATCTAATCATTTGTGAATGATATTGCAAGTGGAACAAGTTTATAAATAGCAATTGAATAAGTGACTCTACCTACATCTGCTGCTTCAGCCGATGTCTTTTTGTATACTGCAGATTTAAGCAATACAAAACTAGAGGCATAAATTTTCTATGATGCTGTTAATCCTTTAGTTTTGGGTGGTGCTGCAATGACATCAACAGTAGAATCTACAAGTTCAACAGTATAAGCTAATACAGTATTTACATTTAAAAATGTTAATTTTGGTACAACTGCCTTAAGTGGCTATTCTTAAATAGCTTATAGATTTCCAGCTGGTTATTATGACATATCAAGTGCAACAGTTTCTGGTGGAACATGTGCCACAACAAGTAATTTAGAAAAATATGCACATTGGATAATATAAAGATTTACAGCTGGTACTGCATGTACTGGTAACAAGGAGGTTGCTTTCTCCAATATAGTTTAAGTAAATAGTGTTGTTGCTACTCTTTCTAAATTAACTTTTCAAATATACACATGTTTAACTAGAGTATGTTCCTATTCTACAACTTCTACTCAACCAACTACTGCATTTACTGCGGCTTCTCCAGGAAGTTTAACAGGTGTTGCTCCTATAGATGCAAGATATTTCCCATATTCATTTATTAAATTTGAACTCACATATACTTGTTCAGGTCACAATATCCCTATGGGAGGATAAGTGATATTAGAAGTAGATTCAACAAAGTTTTAGATTTTTAGAATGGAATTAAAATCAGGAGGAATAACTTCAGTAGGCTACACTAATGCTGCAGGAACATCTACCACTTTTACTTTATTGTCATCATACTTAAAAGCTTAAGCATCTATTAAGTTTGATGTTTATGGATAATTACCATCCAGCATAGGAGCATCAGGAACTACTACATTCACTTTCTCATTAAAAAATAGATATGATGGTGTTGAAATATCACCAGATTCTACTAAACCTACTTTTGATATGAAAACTCCACTGGCTATCACTTCAGCTTAATCTTTCCCTTCAGTTTCATCTTCTTAATCAATACTATCCATTGTTTTAATACCAGGAGCTAAAAGTATTGATAATGAATTGCATTTTCAATTACCTTAAATTTCAACTAGTGATACTAACAATTTTAAATTGTTCATCTATATCGAAGGGATGATAAGTGGTTCTGGATCATGTTCCATTTCAGTTGCAGAAGGTTCCTCTGCAGGTACTCCTTTATGTAATGTGGCAAGCGCAGATAAATTAGAAATTACTGATATTGATCCAAGCTTGATCTAAGCAGAATTCTATTTTAAAGTATGGTATGTAAAAATTACTAATCATGGATTACTTCCTGTTACAATTTAATTAGTAGACTCTTCAAATACAGTACTCAATATATTTACTGGTTCAGTGATAGTATATGAGTATTAAATGGAATCATTAGGTGCCAGCTTTAAACATAATACAAATGGAGGTGAAAGTAATATTATTGAAATAAGTTTCGATCCACCATCTATTAGTAATTTTAATGGTTTTGATGGAGAACTATTTTTGGATCTGTTAGGTTCCTTTACTTCATTGCCAAGTACAATCATAAAAGAATAATGTGATTATTCTTCAGCTATAAACAGTGATTGTGAATTTGTGCCTTCATTTAGATTGAATTCAGCTGGATCAGCAACTGCACATAGAGATCCGTTTAATCCAAGAATCATCATTAGCTAATTTGAATAATAGAGTACTAGTATTAATAATGTAAAAATTTGGTTTTAATATAAATATTTTACTCCTACTAAATGGATTAAAACTAAAATGTTTCAGTTTGGGTATTATGTTAAAGGATAGGGTAATAATTAGATCTATAAATTTGGATAAAACTTTTTATTATAATTGAATGAATTAGATCCAACAGCTCCTACATCTACAACTGGTACTTTGAGTTATACTGGATCTGCTTAAGTCGATGGTAATATATAATCAAGTGTCATTTATACATCATAAAGTGATAATACATTTGATGCAGGGGACTTTGTATCAATTAAATTGATTGGAGGATACACGGTTAAATATGGAACTTATAATACTATGAAAATACTTTCATCAATTGCTGGTTTGTCATCCACTTCAACATCTACAACTTTAGATAGTACTCATACTATTTAAAGAATGGCTTACTTTGAAGGAGTGATTGGTTCTGGATAACAAGATTTATAATTTACTTTGAGTAATATTGAATTACCATATTTCCCAACTGCAACCTTAACTGATATTGCAGCAATTGTTCTCGTTTTAGATGGTACAACTAGAGAGATTAAAGAAAAAATCACTTTGACTAAATCATCTGATGCTATTAGTCAAAGTTTTACAACTTGTTAAGCAGAACAAATAGATTCTAAATCATTTGCATTTTCATTCACTCTGCCTTCAAATTTTAAAACATTTAATTTAAATGGTTGTGTTTCTAGTGGAACATGTTATTAATATATAGAAATAACAACAACAAATTCTGCTTATAATGATGTTTGGCAATATGAGATTACTTGTGGATAAGGATCATCTCTACTAAATTAATATATACCTTATAATGGATATCCTCCAAAATTTTAATAAGTTACTACAAATCCTTATGGAATGAGACTTTCAGAATATTTGGAGATGAATAGTAATAGTTAAATCTGTATAAAATATAGAAAGAAGACTGCTGCAACTGCAGGATCAACTAGTTTTACAATTACAATTTATGAGAAATAGTCTACTGCTGTACCAATAGCAACTTGTACAGCACCAGCAATAACAGTAGCAGCTGCAGCATCTGGTCATAAATTATCAGGTATTGTTAAATTACCATTTGGATTGCAATTATTTTATGATAATTACAAAGCCTTAGTGAAGAATGTAGAAAGATAAATAACAATTGAATTTTCATTATTGGCTGACTTAAATTCAGATGGTAACTTTACTATAGAAAGTGATAATTTAGGATTGGCTAATTTTGACATTACTAAAAGATTGAAATGCATGTTTAAAGAGAAAGCTACATAATTAGTAAAACATGTTCCATCATTATGCATAGTAGATACTACAAATAAAAGAATAACGATAGTTTATAATATTGCAACACTAACAACTTTGAATCCTAAATTAGTAAAAGATAAAGTATACGAATTAATAATAAAATATGATCAATTGAGCATTAACTACTTATCTGAACCAGCATTATAAGGATAATATTAATTGAAATTTAAGTTTTTAGTTGGAACAACAGTTAATATCTATTAAATATTGCCTTTCACAATATATAATAATTAAGTATCTGGATTAGTGACTCAAACTTATGTTGATCATATATCAGAGAGCACTAATTTTTATGTAAAATATAAAGCAACTCAATCGTTAGCACAATCTGATTTTATAGATGTTTTAATTCCAATAAGAGAAGTACAAAACGATGGATCATTAAAAATTCTAAATACTAATAAACTTAACACTCTATTGAACAATGGATAAAGAATTGAATGTTTAGACAAGACAGGAAATTTAGGTACTTATTATAAATGTTATTTATACTATGGTATAAGTGATTTCTAAAGGCCATATTCATTTGTTAGAATGACTAATTTTACAGGTATCTCAAGTGGATCATCTGTATCATTTGTAATTTAAAATTTAGTAAATCCTTCTACAACTGATTTAATAATGGATTATGAAATCAGAATTATTGGTTCTGATTTATTTGAATACTCTTATGCTTATGCTGCTGCTTATACTTTGCCTGTTTCTTCAGTTTCATCTTCTACATCTGGAACCTTAACAATCACACCTCTTCCATGTTTCTCTTAAATTAATTACTAATATTAAGTTACTTTGACCAGTAATGCTGATCCAAATTATGAATCAATTGTTAAAATTAACTATGATCCTCTTATTTGGGGAGAAGATTATACTATTTTTGTAGCTAATATAGGTGGAACATCAGCAAGAATTGATCCTCTAAATTCTTAAAATGTTTTTATTGTATTTCCAGCTGGTTATTCTTCAGGTACCTCAATAACTATTACAATTACTAATGGTCTCTTTTAACCAAGTTATGTTTTAACTAAATCTCATGTAGTCAATGCTTATTTTATCAATTATTAAACTAAAGCATTTGTTTAAATTGCGACTACAACTTAATCAGTTACAACTACCTAAGCTGATATTGCAACATATGGTACAGTAAGTAGTAATTCTGATTTAATGAAAGACTTTTTATCAGTCATGACTATTCCTGTAACTTTATTAGGTTCAATTAAACTTGATTATTAATTTAGAATTATATTCCCTACTGATTATATTCTAAGTAATGGATATTGCAGAGTTTTTGATGATCTCACTGGTGATGAATATCCAATTACATGCTCGGATATAGATCCTTAAACAAAAAAGATTATTTTTAATTCTAAAATTAAAGCAACTACTGCATTTACTGTTAAAGTTTAAGTTTAAACTCCAACTTCATCTGGAAGTAAAAGTATTGATGTGGAATTTTATGCAGATAATTTAGATGCATCTACTCTATTAATACAATAAGATACTTTGACAGCTCAAACTATAATCAATTATACAAAAATGAGATTAGCAATGCCTTATATCAAAGCACCTTAAGTATTATTATAAGATGAGGAAATTGGACCCATTACTTTGACTGTTAAATTAACAAGTGCAGTAACTAAATAAACTGATTTTGCCACAATAGATACTTCCAATTTTATGACTGTAACCATTAATCAACCAACAAATTTAAAAAGATTACAATTTGCTTGTTTCTGGAATAATCTAGCTGCAATGAATTGTAAAAATGGAGATACTTCAGCTAATTATGATAAAATTACTATCTATGCTCCCTCAAACACAGATTTTGCTTCAGGAGATAAAGTAACTATCAAAATTGTTATTTGGAGGCATTAAGAAATTGGACAAACAGATTTCACTTATAAATGGCATGATAATAGTAATGATTAAGTACCATCAGCATCTATTAAAAATAAAATTGTAAAAATTGGTTCTACAGATTATAAAAAAGATGTAGTCTATTAGAATTATAGATTTGATGAAATAACTTTACCTTTGTTTTAAACATATATTGCTGTACATTAAGGAACAATAAATACTGAAACTGATCTTACTGTAAGATTTAGATTGAGAAGAGGTTTAGCCTCAAATTTAAATACAAATTGGGGTTAAATAATTCTTAAACTACCAACTATGGATGATTTTGATGATCTTTAAACACAGTTTCCTAATGGTTTAGGTAGATTCACCAAGAATGCCTAAGAAATCGATTGTTTCTGTAGTACATGTCCTCAAATCAGTAATATTGATCCATTAGAACCATTTTTCAAATGTTATGTCTATTAAGGATCTACCCATAGAGTAGCACCAGTTGAAATATGGTTAAATCCATAAAGAGATATGTCATCATAATAAGTGGTTGAAATCTCTTTCCCTAAAATAAAATTACCATCAACCTAATATACTTATTCTAAATTATCATTGCTAGCATATGAATATGCATCAAGTACAAAAACTACTAGAAATCATTCAGAAATAGTTCACTTTTATACATTCCATACTATTCCTGATGCTTTTGCTACTTATACTGCTGTAACTCCTCCAACATTTACACTAAATAAAGTTGGAGCAATGTCTGGTGTAACAGCAACAGTTAATAACCCTTATGATGATCTGTTAGATTATTGTCATGATAGATGGGTATTGAGTACTGAAGATGTTGAAACTAAGTTTGAGCACCCTTACAATCCAGAAACTGGAACATTATTTTCAGATGGTGGAAATTATCCTTATAACTATATTGAATACACTACAGCAACTAATCACATTGTCGTTATTTATAAATTAGCCAAATGGATTACATTTGTTCCTAAAGTTGTTTTAACCAAATCCTCTACATAAACTTTGACTATTTAAAAATTTAAAAACATGCCATATATGATACCAAGTGGAGTCAATTATAAGATGACATTATTCATAGAGATAGGAGTAAGATCATATACTGAATACAGTGTGTTTACAACAGCATAATAGTATAGATTAGCTTATAAACCATCAACAACAACAAAATAGATGTCAATTGATCCTATTCCTGCTCCTGCTGAAACAGCAGCACCTTAGACATATGAATTGAAGTTTTTGCCATATAATAAAATTCCAAAGAATGGTAAGATAATTTTCACATTTCCTCCTTTACCAAGTTATGATTGGGTGTTCAGTGATTAATATTGTGTAGTTTCATAAAATTTGTAAGACAGTGGATGTGACATAATTCCTGCTAGTAGAATTATTATAATTAAGGATTGGTTGAATGATTATGATCCAAATATTGATGGATATTTAAGTGTTAAATTTGATATAGTAAATCCAACAAATGTTTAAACATAAATACCATTTGTATGGAGAACATATTGGGATCAGAATTAGGACACTTGGTTAATAGATGAAGAAACATTCTTTGAGAGTACTCCAACAACATAAATTGTATAAGGAGGTAATTTGATAGTGACTTTATGGGATCGTTTTTAACATCCTTATATAATATGTGGAGGTCGAAAGGGACCAATAAGATTAAGATTTATTTTAAGAGATTAAAATTTGGTTTATCCAGATGATTATATAGAATTATGGATGTAAAATACATTTTGGCCGGTTTCAACATAAAAATATATAGTATGTTATTTTAATGATCCAAATGATTTTTAATTAGTGAATATAAAATCCCATAGATGTGATTGGGATGGAACAGGTGGTGGTAGATTAAAAGTATATATACCTGAAGAAATAGATATTCATGTAGGTGATGAATGGGAATTAGTAATAACAACATTTGGATAATACAATGGTGATGGTTGGGTAGTAAGATCTCCATCAGATTTATATTGGGTTACATTTTTTGCAATGAAGAATGGCCTTAATACATTAGATAAAGGATGGTTTGAAGCAAAGATACCAGGATGTCCATTTGATAATAATGGATTTGATTGTTAAAGTGTAGGTTGGGAAGCAAGTACAGTAGGTGGTGATCCAACTTGGACAATTTTAAATTTTACAGCTTAGACAGAAAATAATGCTATTCCTGCAGGTGATCCAGGTTTATTAACTTATTCAAGATTGTTATTTGAATTTATTACTCATAATGAATTAGAAGAATCATGGCCTATGGATTTAACAAATAGAATGGGTGCTTCTAATGAAAGAGCTTAAGTAGCATGTAATGGTATGTATAAAACAAATGGTGCAAATAGACCATTACAACCTAAAGGTAATACTTATATTGAATGTTATAATGTTAAAGCAGAAAATAATATATGGAATAATACACCTTCTTATATATTAGGATAATACTTTGATGCAATTGCCGCATCAGAAATATTTCATTTTTAAATAGCAGATTTTCGTAATGGTTATGTTTAAGGTGCATTTTAACATGTGAAAATATCAGTAGAAGTTATATAAGAAGATGGTACATTCTATCCATAAAATGAGCATTATTGCTGGCATTTACCTCCTTCTCTTTATGCTCCCCCATCTCCATCTACAGCTTCAACATCAACTTGGTCTGTTTAAAGATCTTAAGTTGCTTTAACTTAATAATAAACATACTTTGGAGAAAATAGTTTATCACGATTTGATACGATTGTTTATGATTTCAATTATCCTTATACATTACCTATGAAAGGATATTGTTTATAAAGAAGATATAATGCTAATTTCTCTGATGGTTATTTATCTCCATGTACACCTTAGCATTACAATCATTGGTGGGTTATGAATGCTGCTATTCAAGATCCTACTGTTAAATGGTTTTAAAGAGAATCTGGTAATTTTGTAAATCCTCCATTCGTTTTTAAATAAAATAATCCTTCAAGTAATCCTACTACTTGGAATTCTATTATTTAAGAATCACCTTTAAGAATATATATATGGAGTAATAATAGATTAATTAGTAATCAAACATTCTAATAAAATAGTGGTAAGATATCTCCTACTACTGGGTAATTATTTATTGTTAGTTAAACTACTACTAATGACAATGCTAAAAATACTATGGTTAGACATCATATTGGATTACATTTCCAAACTATTACTTCAGCAATGAAACATATTAGATTATGGGCACCTAATGATTATTAAAATATTTAAGATTGTAAAATTAATAGAGGATTAGTAAGTAGAGATCCTGCAGATCTTGATAATAAAATCACTTGTGTTATTACGAAATTACCTGCTCCTATTGATAGATGGCTAATTGAAATTGATAATTTCTAATCATATTAAGGACATGGCGAAGATTAATGGATGATAATTGATTTTAATTTAACTAATCCCATTTCTGAAAAATGGACTGGAAGTTGGTATGGTAAAACTTATGAAAGTTCCACTAATTTATCATATGTAATTGATGAATCTAAAGGAACTGATGGCTAAACTTGGGTAGGAGAATCTGTTAAATAACCTAATCTATTTAGAGTATGGAGAAATACTATCTCTTATGAAAATAGAAGAGCTTAAACTGATGATTATGCTGAAGTTCATATGAGAGTCTTGCCTAGAACTAGTCATCCTGCTACTACAGCAAATTCTAATACAGAAGTATAAATTTGGTTACCTCTTGCTTATGATCTAGCAAATGGTGGAAATCCACTTTGTTAAATTAGTAATGAATATCATAAAGATTTGGATTCTGTTAATTGCAAGATTACCTCTGACAGAAAGATAACTTTGAGCACTGATAATACTCATGGATTAAAACAAGAATGCTCAATGGTTACTGTTACTACAGAAAATGCTATAGGTGGAAATGGTATTAAATTACCATCTACACCATAAGATGATACATTTTAAGTGTTTATAGATTCAACTGATTCTAGTGGATTTGTATAAAGAGAATATAATTACAATCAAGCATATGCAGTTCCAGATCCAATTACATCAGCAACTGATCCTACATTTTCTATAAAATCTACTATTCGAGAAGCTAACTAATATACAGTAATTAAAGCTACTTTTACAGCTCCTCTTGATATTCCAGCTGGTTATGATACTTCATCTCCAGGTTAAGATCCTTTAAGTTCTCCTCCTATAGGTACTTTAAGATATAAATTCAATACTAAAGATTTTGTTAACAATGGATATTCAGGATTCCCATTAAATTTGGGTTAATCAGGTACTGATGTACTTTGTTAAGGTTTTGGAAATCTAAAAGGTACTCTACAATGTACATTAATTGCATCTACTTAAGTATCACCAGATTATCCAGCAATAATTGAAGTTAGAGGTTTTGATTATATAGGTGCTGGAGATTTAGTAGAAGTTCATTTTTTGAACATTAAAAATGGTGGTTCTTATTAAAATAAAGGTAATGTTACTTTATCTGCATACAAAACAAAAGGTGATGGAACTAAAGTAGAATTGATTTAAGATTCCACTGGTTTTGTACCAGTTTATGATCCAAACTGTTATGGTAATCTATGTTATAAAGTATTTACAACATGTCCAACAATCCTTTTGGCTGATATTGACCCAAATGTAGTAGGGGCATTTATGTAAATGACTATCAACTCCATAGATATCAATTGTACAATACCAGCAACTGTATATTAACCACTTTAGGCAGGAGATCAAGTTATATTGACATTCCCATAAGAATTTGAATTCCCAGCTGAATCTAATAATGCTATATCTGCAATATGGGATCTAATCTAAATGCAAACTATCGTTTATCCATTAACGAGAGAAATTTACTTTACTTTCCCTGCAGGAATTGCGCCTCTTACAGGTTGTGCATACACACTTAAAATATCTTAATTGAGAGGTCCAGCCTATTACTTTAATACTCCTTATAATATTAGAATGAGAATAGTAAAATCATAATATAGAAGAGTTGATTGTTTTATTAGTGGAGTACCTCCTCCTGAAGTTGCGAAACCAAGCACATAATCTATGTTATTAAGTAGTTATTTTGCTGGTGATATATTTGTTGATTATAATTTCTAATTTTCTCCTACTTATAAAATACCAGCTGGAGGTTCTATTAATATTGCATTTCCAAATCGTGGATTATTAAATTATGGTCATGTTACATCTAGTAATCCTCCTGCTGTTTGTAACTTACTTAATTCTATTTATATTACTACTTGTGTATTGACTACTACTGGAATCTAAGTTACTGTAGCATAAGATATTCCTGCTTAATAAGAAATTAAAATTAATCTAAGTGGTGTTAAAAATTCTGATTATTCTGGATAAACATTAATAGATGATTATCTTTTAACTATGTATCATCCAAATGGATAGAAGATTAATGAATATGGATTTTCACCATTTTAATTTTATGCTAAAAAAAATGTTGGTGTCATTTATATGAAATTATCAAATACTAATAGCTTTTAATCTGTTACAGCATCTTATACATTTGTAATTTAAAATTCATACACTGTTCCAGCATCTGGAGAGATAGTATTAAAAATGCCTAAAGAATGGGCTTCTGTTGTATCTTCTACAATTACATTAGCTAAATTAAGTGCTTCATGGACAAGTGATGCTTTATCATATACATATTCTATTGATTCTGGTTCAGATAGTAATAATTATTTACTAAGAATCAAGAATTAATTTACTTGGCCTTAAGGAGGATCTTTAACTCTCTTAATGTTAAAATTAAAAAATCCTTCATTTGAAAGTACCAAAATATTCTAAGCCTAAACTTTTTATGATAATGTTTTACTTGATTAAACAGATCCTTTAGATTCTTCATTGAAATTCACCTACAAACCTGAAGTTCCATCACTTTAAATAAACGATTTTGTTATGGAACCTTCAAATGCAGGAGAAGTTTCATCTTATTCATTAAATATGACTTCAAGTGGAAATATGACAATAGGAAGTACGATATAAATACAATTTCCAACAGATACTTATCCTCCAGGATTAACTAGATATGATTTATCATTAAGTTGTAATTTATTGTTCAAAAATGGAACAAATGTAACTGTTCCATGTTCTGCTGCTAATTCAAAATTAACTGTCAATTTGAATGCAAATATTGATTAAAATACAGAATTTTCTCTTCAAGTAGTTGGTATAACAAATCCAAATTATGATTCAACTGCAATAAAAGGATCTATAGATGTATTAACAACAGATTCAAACAATAATGTGTTAACATATAATAGTGGAGCAGCTTAAATAAATCCAACTGTACCACCTTAGACTATGAAATTAGTGAAATTAGAAACCTCTTCAACAAATTTATAAGTTAAAGCTGCATATACTTTGTGTATTTAAACAGATCTTAGCATTCCATTAGGTGCATAAGTGTTTATAGATTTTCCTTAATAATTTACATTTAAATCATCTTAATACCCATGTTATATAAGTTTAGAACATAATAATGCTTTATTGCCATATGACAATTCAACTACATCTCCAAATTGTAAGAATTCAAATTCTTTAAGAAGAATAGCAGTATCTGGACATACAGCTGCTTATACAGGAGATAATAAGAATCCTGCATAATTATGTTATATATTAGATAATATTGAGAATCCAAGTTCCCCTGGTCCAACTGAGAATTTTGTTGTTAGTATTTATGATACATAGAATAAAAATGTAGTAGCTAAGACTTTTGGAACATTATCACCTAATTCAACATTATCTTATAGTTAATAAGGATTAGTTATTACAGTTGAAAACATAGATCCATTACCTAGATATCTAACAACAAAGCCTATAAAAGTAACACTTTAAAGATCAGTTAGTCATACTGTTACATTAACACCTTAATCTACTGAATTTAAATTTATCCCTCCAGAATTAGTTTTCTTACCTGCAAATGGACCAGAAATGTATTTCAAAATATAAGCAATTGATGATGATATAACTCCTCTTGGACTTAAATAATTTAGTTGGCTTAAAGTAGAATCAGCAACTGCTAAATTTTCAGAAATGGCTGATTCATTCTTCTAATATGTTGATAAACCTACTGCTAATTAATTATATATGACAATTAATCCAAGAGTTTTTAGAGTAGCATTAGGTGGTACATCATTACCTATGACTTTAACTCTATCTTAACCAGCTGCATAAGACTTATTAGTTAATTTTACTACTATAAATCCTTACCAAGATAATTCATTAGTCTTTGAACCTATTAATGCTGCTGGATAAGTTAAATTCCCTGCTGGTACTACATCTATTTAACTTTAATATACTACTAAATAAACTGCATTATCAGGTTAAATCTCCTTTGAAATTGTTGGCAAATACAATTCCTTATATACCATACTTGATAACATTGTCAATTTTGAAATCCTAGAAACTGATGATAAAATACCGGAAGTAGTTAATTATTATGCTGTTAATGTAAAAAGAACTAGTATGTATTTCAGAGCTAGTATTGATGAAAGTGTTACATTATATTATTACTTAACATTAAAAGGAAATCCAAAACCCACTATGGATTAAATTAAATCTTAATAAAAACTCACTAATGTATTTACATAGTTTGGAAATAATCAAAGTTTTATTGCTCCTGTGACTACTGATTATATTTATAATGATGTCTATCTAGATCTTCAAGGATTAACTGAATAAACTGATTATAGTCTCTACTTCTTTGTTACAGATTTAAGTGGTAATAATAATACTGAAGTCAAATAATTTGATTTTACTACAGCAACCAAATATTAGCCAGCCTAATTTTAGATTACTTTGAGTAAAAATGTAGATATTGAAAAACTATTAAGTGCTTTCGGATTAGTAACTGGATTACCTTCTAGTAGTTTTTAGACTATAAACAATCCCAAAAAATATACTATTGATGGTGAATTGGATACTGATGTTTAAGAAATTTTAGATTCTTAAACTGTCACTTATAGTTTCCAAATTAATCCTGATCCAACTATTGGTGGTTTATCACCATATGAATATATTAGATTAATCTAACAAAATTTAGATCTCCTATAATCAGAAATTCCAGAAGTTGTAGATTAAAATATTTTCAATACCGCTTGGGAATATTTTGAATATCCTTAAGAATTTAAATATAATCCCATTAAGATTAATGTGACAGAAGATACTGTTTATTTTAATGTCTCACTTAGATACACTGGTAATTTATATACTCTTGTATTACCAGCTGATGCACCTGCACCTTCATCTAAACAAGTATCTATGGGACTCAATTCAACTAATTATCCAGTTTAAAAAGTATAATTATTATTCATATTCTTTAGGAATGGGTGTATAAAGTTAGATTCTAATATAGTAATAAAACTAGCACTGATGATTAAAGACTTTATGCAATTTTCAAATACACTCTTCTTTTTGATAATTCTTATTACAAAGCCTATTTTACTGCAGATAATAATTTAATTAACAATCCAGATTTAATGACCAGTAATTATTTATCTTATATCATTAGATGAATAAATGAAATCAATAGAATTTAAAACAAAAAGAGAAATTGTTATAATTCCTAAGAAATATTTGGAATCAAGTTTGCTATCAATAATTATGATGATAATCTTTATCTTAGGATGAATGATGATATGATCAATATATATAATCAAATCGAAATGAACATTATATTATTAACAATTTCTAAAAAACAATAAAATTTTTAATATCATTTATTAAATGGGAGATAAGAGGATTGACAAATACTAATTCAATACCAATAATAAGATTGGAGAAGGTTCTTATGCCACTGTTTTTAAAGGTATCAATGAAAAAACTGGAGAGAAAGTAGCTATTAAGATGCTCAATAAATCTGTCATCAATGCGTATAATAATAATCCTATTTATACTTAAGAGATGATTACTTAAGAGATGGTTTAATATAGGAAATCAAAATAATGGGAAAATTGAAAAGTCCAAACATTGTTTAACTTTTAGATGTAATGGAAACTTCAAATAATTATTATATTGTCCAAGAATATTGTGATGGAGGTGATTTTGATGAGTATTTATTTCTATTTATAAAAGATTTCTTAAAAAGAAGAAAAATTTGAGTGAAAAAGAAGCTATTAAATTTTTAGTTGATATATTGACAGGTTTCACTTAACTTATAAAAAATGGAATAATTCATAGAGATTTGAAACCTGCAAATATTTTATTAGATAAAACAGTATTAAATAAATAGTAATTAATTTGATTAGACTTACAAATTAGCAGATTTTGGTTTTGCTAAATGTGTAGATAATTTCAAAAAAGACATGATGTCTTCAATGGTTGGTACTCCATTATATATGAGTCCATAAATCTTAGATCATAAAAAATATAATTCTAAAACAGATGTATGGAGTATAGGATTCATATTTTATGAAGCCCTTTTTGGAAAAAGTATAAAATGTTGTTAATGTATAAGCTCCATGGACAGCTAGATCTCCTCCAGAATTATTAAAGAATATCAGAACTTAACCATTAAAGTTCCCAACTGAGAAAGTACAAATCTCCCAAGAAACATAAGATTTAATAATTGGATGTCTTTAAGCTGATGAATCTAAAAGATTATCTTGGGAACAAATATATAAACATCCTGCTGTCTCATAATACTTTTAAGACATAGTTAAAGGAAATTTAAAATTAGAAGATAAAGCTTAATACTTAATTAATGATATTAGATTAATGATAATTAAAGATAAATTAGATATTAGTCAATTATTTGCAGAATTAGATATGTCTAAAGATAAAGCACTCGATGTAAATGAATTAGGAAGATTCTTAACTAGAGTTGATAAAGATATTTAAAGAGAAGAAATCGAATATATTTTTAATAAATTTGATGAAGATGGTAGTAATTCAATTGATTTTGAAGAATTCAAAAAATGGATGGAAGATAATTCTGTATCAAATTAAAATATACTTAGATTTAAGTCAAATAAGAAAAATAAATAAGAGATAGATAAAAGAAATAATCTATTTTAGGTAAGAATACTGTAGAAGAAAGAGCAAATTATGTGATAGAAAAACTTAAACTATCAATTATCAAATATAATATTTAACTTATTGATTTATTTAAGAAAGTATGTATCTTTATATATTTAGTTTGATAAATCTGCTGATTTAAGATTAGATCTTAAAGAAATGGCTTAAATGTTAAAAAGAATTGAACCAAGTATTAATGAAGATGAAACTCGAGCAGTCTTTGATTTCTTTGATATTAATAAAGATGGTGAAATTACATTCTAAGAGTTCTAAACTAATTTGTAGGAATGCATAGTTCATAAAAAATGAATGATTTTTAATATATAAACTTATTTAAAATATAAGGACTTTTATGGATTAAAGTTTCTACCAACCTTACTAATTGAAAAAATATACTATAGTATAATATTATTTTATAGAGGAATTATCTACTTTTATCAGATTCACTAGATTACTAATATGATTGTTTAGAATTAGAGAATGATTAATGGTCGAGTATTTCTATTTTGAAAGGTTATCCATAGTATATCAAAATTCGAATTTAAGAATATTTTCCTTTGAAAATATTTTTCAATGTGGGAGCTTTTAAATGCAATATTTATTTTTCATTCCTGACATCTTAACCATCTGAAACGAATCATCAAAAACATGTTGTTATAAAATAACAAAAAATTATTGTAATTAAAAAACCAGAAGAACACAAGCAATTTTTATTTATCTAAATTTTATGTGATTTTAGTACCTAAGTCAAACTTAAAGCATGGTTTTAATGTATTAAATTTAACTTTTAAATTAAATAGAATCCTAATATGATAGATGCTATTTTCTTTGTTATGATGGATAAGATTAGAACAGAAAGAAGACTAGCTCTTAGATTAACAATAAATCAGATGATGAATCCTTTTTTACAGATAAAAATAATACTACTACAATAAATATCAAAAGTGTTGCTGAATCAATTATTCCTCCTATCAAATCTAGTAGTGATAATCGCAGATTCAGCAATGTAAAATAAAGAAGCGGATCAATACCATTAAAAAATAAAATTTTATAAGTGTAACAGAAAAAACTTTAATTATATTCATTAAATGTAATTCAAAGATACTAAAAAATGTTAGTATCATCATATAAACAATTAAATTAATCCAGAATGATGAAAAAATACATCAATCAATGGATAATAACTCTAAATTTTCTTAGATATGTTGAAACACTTTATGCTCATTTTAAAATCAATAAAATATTAAGATGTATGTCAAATTCTCCAAAATTATATGCATAAAGATGGAAATTAGTTAATGAAAAAGCTCAAACGTTAAAAATTAGAATCTTAACATAAGCTAATTTAACTCTATCTTTATATTCAAAATAATTAAATGGAAAAGTATTTAGATAAGTTTCATAACTTATATAAATAACTTTGATAGACACACATTTTATTAAAAAACAAGCTTAATTATACTAATCATTTATGAGTTTCTACTTGAAAGTAAAAAAGATTTAAGAGTTTTATTTTAAAGAAAGAAATAAGTTCTATCTTTAAATGGAATAAATGATTCAAAATATCCGATAACAAAATCCAACTATACTTATTTCAAAATAAAGAATGAAAATTATTTAATTCGAATTTTATTAATAGTTGTGTGCTAAACACAAATAGTAATATAAAAGATTTGTGGAGTCCTAAATATCTAATACTACTTTATTAACATCATTATTTGCTATTTTATCAAAACCAAAATTGAATATAATGAAGAATTAAGAATTATTGTTCTAAATTATAGAATAAACCAAATGATTTATTGTTATAAAAACAACCCTAAAATTATTATAATTCATTTAGCTGCATCCCATTATTATTTTAATCCAATAATAGAGCTAATAGTTCCAAAGAATCCAATCCATTTACCTGGTACTCTTCCATTACTGATAAATCCATAAGCACTCTTATTTTAATAGAAAATATTGATACCAGTAAATCCATAAAAGCTCTTAATAAATCTAATTTAAGATTAAATAGGCGCTATGGTGACTTTGTATCTTCAGTTTTATTATCTTCTTCTTTAATTTCTAAAATTAATGCAACACAATCAAAGAACGCCTCAAAACACCAAAGTGCGTCACTCCAATAATCAGCTTTAGCTTCAAGTATTGGGTTTTGTATCACTTAAATCTATGTTAAATCTTTCATTTACTTTACAAAACCAATGAGTGTGATCAACCAAAAAATAAAGAAAACAAGAGATATTCATTAATATTTTATTAAGAATGATTGCTTTATTTCCTTTTGATTTTGATAATTCTATTATTGAAATTATTATTCCGATTGTTCTTCCAAATCTTAAAACTTTTCTTGTTAAACTCATGTTAGAGCTTAAATTTTTACACTTTAATGACAATTCATTTTAATTTAACTCTTTCAATTATTCTGCACAAAATTTACCAAAATATTGTAAAATTCTACATGACTATTAAAATTATTATTAATTCTATACTTACTTTATCTCTTCCTGAAGTTTTAGATAATAAAATAACAACTCTTTTAAAATTTTACATTTTTAATTACTTATTAAAAAAATAAATATTATTAAATATTATGTTTTGATAAATTTAAGAAAATCATCTTCTTCTAACTCCTGCTCCCTCTAATTGATTTACAATTTTGGGAAATAGGGACTATTAAGTTAAAAGTTAGTCCATCAACTTATTATGTTCATTTGTTCTAATATATGATTATAAAATTACCTTTCAACCCATCTGTTATTAGTATTATCTAAATTATCTGAGGCTGTCTTGAAATTTGTTTGAGCATCTTTAAGTAAATTTTATTTTGTTTAAATTTAAGCTGATAAATTATAATTTATAATTACCATCTCTTGTTTAGATTTCAGCTTAAATAGTTGGTATGATGATTGTTGATAGATTGCTTATTCTTTAATTATATTGACTAAGATTATGATCATCAATGGCTCTCACTTATTAATATGCATTTTCTAAATCTGTTTTGTTTTTAACAATAGTATCTCTCAAATTTTGAATTAATCTTTAAACTTTTGCACTTGCTTCAGAATCATTAAAACTTGGTGCCATAATTTAAGTAAATGCAGTAATTAAAGGCCCATACATTATTCTTTAATGTTACAATTGTTTTAGACCTTCTTCTAAAAATGAAACACTTCTATTCTAAATAAATGAACCATCTCTTAGTTATCCAATTAATTATAAGGCTTAATCAAGAGCTTAAACAGCATTTGTATATTGATTTTGTTGATCTTTAAAGATTCCTTCTTCCTTTTAAATTCTTTTTGATAATCCATCAGCTAATGATTAAACTTCTTTCAATTCATCAACCTTTCCATTTAAGGCTATTTATAATAAGTCTCTGCTTTCAGTAAAATCTGTAACATCTATTTCTAATTATGCAATCTATTAAACTAAGCTTATAACATTACTTCATTCTAGAATTGTGTAATTTGACCTGAAAAAAATTCCTTATCAGTGAAATATTAGACTTCATCCTATTAATATGCTTGTTATTCATCTGCTAATCTTGATTTGATTGAATTTTGTAAGTCATCAAGTGCTGCATATAATTTAGAAAAATCAAATTGTTATGCCTTTGATTTAAGGCTTAGTAATTTCAAAAATGCTTTTCCCAAATGAGTTTATTCTAATTCATTCATTATTGGATTCGATAAAGGACCTTGAATTTAATTTGCCAAGGTAAGAGAAATCAATAATATAGAAACTAATTTCCTCATACAATCCGTTTTTAATAATAATATAAATAATAATCATTATTCTTATATAAAATAAGAAATTGTTAATTTCATAGTTTTATGCATTTTATATTAGCATAAATAAGATATCTATAAATATTAATCAAATACATCTTAAATCTCAATTCAAAATAATATACTATTTAATTATTGCATATTAAAATCAAGAAATCGTTTAGTAAAATCAATGAAAGTTAAACAGCATTTTTAATAATGCATTTCTTATAAATATTATTCTTTATATCTTATAGATATATTTTTTATTATGCTTTTCAATGATTAAAATAAATGAAATAGATAATTTTATAAATTAAACATTTATTTTTGAAGATTATAAACATTAGTATGATTTAGTTTAGTTTTTCTTCACGGAAAATCCTTTATTCATCTGATGTATTTTAAGAAATAATTTACAAAGATTTTTATTAATAAATTTAATAAATTTATAATAAAACATGTAAGAATAATCTGATCAAGTGAAAGTTTAATTAGAAAAAGATGTAAAATAATTAGCAGTAGAATTTGTTAGAGAATAATACTTAGAAATCTTTTTATATCTATATGTCTATTTTTTAATTTCCTTTTATTTAGAAAATATTTTATCAATATTATAAGTTGTTATTTGCCTTATTTTTATTGATACATGTAATAATTGTACATTATAATAGGCAGATGCGCTTAAACTTGTTATGGTTTACAATAAGAATTAAAAGTATATTATTATCTGGAATCATTTATCTATTGTTTAATGAAAATATGTTATATTTTGATTGTTGTGCTTGAGATAGAGTTTTATTTGATGTTAATAATGTTTCCATTATTATTGTTGATCCTAAGATTGCTGATATATTGCAATAAGAAAAAATACTTTGCTTTTGTAGCATTTTAATAGTTCGTATAGCATAAAGAATGACATAATAGTTTAATGTGTTATGGAAGATAGTAATTTTAGTAGAAACATTATCTGTAACTCTAAAATTAGATGATTTAGTTGCTTGGGATTGGATACAAGTATTATGGTTGTTTTTGATTCTATTAATATTAAATGGTGTGATTACTTTTATTTCAGTTCTATATTTCGCAATAAAAATTATTCCAGCCTTGCTTAAGAAAAATGAAAAATAAAAGAGTAGTAAATATCATTTATATAAAGATGCCTATTATATGTAATTTTTTTTGTATTAGATGACAATATTAATGACTAATTTATTTTTATATCTCAATAGTGCTGCTTTGAAAATTATCTTGCCTCTAGTATTTAGTTTAATTACATTATATACTTATTGGAAAAGAAAAGATTTGGAATTTTACTATGCTAATTTTATATTTAATTTAGAAATAGGAAAGGATTTAGAAGAAAAACAATAACCATATGAATAAGCAACAATTTTATAAAGAGTTTCAACTAATTATTATAAACCAATAATGACAAATATTGGATAAAGATAATCAAGCCAACCTCCAATCTTGAGTAATGATCTATAATCTGTAAATTCTGAAGAATCTAATTTATGCATCATTTGCTAAGATAGGGCTGGTGAAAAGATTTTTATGCCTTGTGGTCATGGCAAATTTTGTGCTTAATGTATAGGAAATACAGATGCATGCTTTCTTTGTAGAAATGAAATTGCTTAAATACTTACGGTGTAACAAGAACATATAAGTTTTGGAATTATTGCTAAATGATTTTTTTTAAATAATACAGATCATATTATGTATTATTTAAACAATTATATTAACTATTAATTTAAATGGCTTGCACATCTAAAGAATAGTTTCATTAAGATATTAATGAATTAAATTAAGAATTAAAACCTAGAGAGTAGATTGCTCCAGTACAAACAATGAAATTAAATAGAGGAGGTCTAATCATTAAAACTAGTGAAGGTCCTATTCAATTTGGATTACCTCCTGAAACTGTAAAGGATTCTATGTCCTTAGGAGTTGAAGTACCCACTTTTTACATAATACCTACACAGAGATTTAATAAATAATTTGGAATTAATGTAGCTGAATTTGAATTTCCAGCTTATTTTAATTTCTTTATTAAGAAAAGGTAAGTAACATTAATATGTGATGCTGAAACTGCAAACTCAATTAAGATTGTATTTTAAGAAACTTTATTGGGTCCTTAAGATTTTAGTGTAAAATATTAGTATATAACCCTTAGCAAATTCAAAAAGATTATCATCCTGATGTTGACCCAGTTGAATATGTTGATTTTAAGAAAGAATTGGCTATTTTTGCTAAGAATCCTATGAATTAAAATGAAAAACTAACTTCAGACACTTTATTAAAATTTATTATCTTTGAGAATAATGTTGCTTAAATTGGAAAAGTAAAAATAGTCAAAGAAGAGAAAGAATTTACTATATTTGATAATGATAATTTACTGATTAGTTTTCCTGATAAATTTAGTTTTCCTAAAGAATACGATAAATTATTATCTTTACATAAAACTGATAGTTCAGGAAAATCTGAAATAGCTCCTCCATCATTAACTATAATGAAAAAAATTAAACATGGAAAAAAACCTCCAAGTTTGACATAAAATTTCGATGAAATTGATTCAGATGAAGAAAATGAAGATATTGGTAGCATGCCAAATTTATTGATGTGGAATAAAAATGGAGAAGCTAAATTATAAAAGAAAGGAAGTATAGAAGTAAATGAAGGTTTAACTTTCTAAGCTCCTGAATTTGGAGTAACAGTTTTGGGATGTGTAAATATATTAAAATAATTTAGTCTCATGGATTTGATCCTAAAGGTTCTACGTCTGGTTACATATTTTGGATTAACGGTAGAGGTATTATGGTGGATCCACCACCATATACAAGTTATCATTTGAAAAAAATGGGAATTCCACCTATTATGATAAGTGCAATTATAATTAGTCATTGCCATGCCGATCATGATGCAGGAGCATTTCATAAAATCTTAGATGATAGCAAAGTAGAAATAATTACAACAAGAACTATTATGTATTCATTTTTAAGAAAATATTCTGCTATCTCTAATTTATCACAAGATTAAATAAAAAGTCTCTTTACATTCAGACCTGCTATTTTAGGAATACCTTTAAATATTTATGGAGCTGAATTTGAATTCTTTTATGCATTTCATTCCATTCCTTGTATTGGTTTCAGAGTAAGATACTAAAACAAATCGATTTATTTTAGTGGAGACACATTTTATGATCCTGTTAAAATAGAGGAATTATATAAATAAGGGCATTTAAATTAAGCACGATGCAAATAATTGAATTCTCCAAAATTTACTGAAGATATTATTTTGCATGAAGCTGGAGTACCTCCTATACATACACCATAAACAGTTTTATCTTAATTGCCTAATCAAGTGAAAAATAGAATGTATTTAGTACATGTTGCTGCAAAAGATGTATTAAAAGGATCTGGTTTGAAAGTAGCTAAACCTGGAATTGAAAATACTTTGATTTTAATTAGACCAAATTTCTAATAAGATATCCCATTAAATAGAAAAATGGACATCATTAGTAGAATTGATATTTTCGATAAATTGACTTTGAATAATGCTAAATTCTTATTGGATGCACTCAAACTAGAATAGTATAAAGAAGGAGAATTAGTTATTTAAGAAAACTAGGAAGGTCATAAATTCTATATAATTGAATCTGGTTTAGCTAAAGTTTTTTCTGATCAAAAAGATAATAAATTTTAAAGATATTTATAATCTGGAGATTATTTTGGAGAGTCTGCTTTAATTTAAACTGGAAGAAGAAGAGCCTCAGTACTTGCAGTAACAGATTTAAAAGTTTTATCACTTGATAAACATGATTTCTGGTTTATTTTTGGTGATGGATTTGAAGGATAAGGACCAGTAATTGAATAAATGATGTAATTAATGGAGGCTAGAAAGTAATAGGCTATTTAGATTTTGTTTAAGTAAAAATAAATAATTTATATTTTTTAGAAATTCGCATTTTTCTCAATTAACCCCTACCCAAAAAACATAATTAGAGATGATAATGTAATAAAAAGATGTTAGTAAAGGACAAGTGTTATGGAAAAAAGATGATCAAGCAACTTTTGTGTTTTTCATAAGAAAAGGAGCCTTTGTATTTATTGACTGTGATGAAGCTGTAAAATAATTAATTAATTAAATTAGAAATTAGAAGAATTTGATTCTGGTTCGTTTATAGGAGAAATTAACGCAATTCTATAGGGTGGCCAATTGACAACAACTATCAAGGCAATAAGAGAAGGATCTATTTTATAAATTGAAGCAAAAGCCTTTGCAAAGTTCTTGTAGCGTAATCCTGGATTATTATTGTTGTTTTAAGAATCCAAATATTTAGAATGAAATATTCATTAGAAATTTAAATATATTAAATAAATTATATACCTATTTCTACAGTCAATCAAAACTTCTATAGAATATATATTAGAATAAAACTCAACATTATTATTTTTAAAGTTTTTAAAAACAGCTCCTTTTAAATATTATTTAGAAATGCAAATTTGATATAAAATCTGTATTTTAATTATCATTAATATTTATTATCAAATAGCAACTATAACATTAATATTATAAATATTAAATTATGGAAAATGCGAAAATATTACCATAGAACTTTAATAATATTCTCAATGTAATATGTTATTAATTAAAGATGCTTTATTTGAAAATTTTTCACAAAGTATGTAAATGGGATGGGTATAATTGTATTAGCTTTAACCCTCTTATAATTATTAATCCGCCTATGCTATCTTGATTGAATTATTTTTTCTTAGTTTAAACATGTTATTGTATTAATTAAACATTGATAATAATATATTATTGCTTTAAATAAGAAAATTAATTCAATATAAATAAAAATGCAAAAAAAATAAATTATTTTTGTAAATTATCCCTTCTATTTTAACTTAAGTTCTACTCATTTAATTAAATATTAGAGTATTCAATTCTTTTTCATTATGGCAACCCAAAGAGGTATCAAGTTATGTGAGCTATCTAATTAAGTAACAAGAAATTGCTTTACTCTTCAGCAGTAGTTTAGATAACTGGTTCATCTAAAAATGGCTTCTTAAATATTTCTAATTATCTTATAGTTGTACAGAGGGCATTTATGAGCAACTCTTTATTAACAAATCTAAAATTTGCTTAATGACATATATAGAGAAAAGCATCATAAAGCTTAATTTTCGAAGCACCTTTAAGCAATAATCCTTATTTTATATCAGATTTTTATTTTTTTGCAGGTTTGTTAATGATTACTAAAAACAAATACCAGCAAGGTTAAGCATTCTTATTTAGGTTTGGAAGAAATAAATTTTACATCACTCTTCAATACAATTCTGACTCAATTACTCCTAGTAGTTGCTTTGCTCTATTAGGTCACTGAAAACTATTAATTTCATACCAAGAGAGTTGATACCTAATTTTATTGCAAAGGATGTTACCCATAGTGTTTGACATAAATTTTACACTTTTTGTAGTATTAACCATGATATATTTTTTTTCTAGGATTTTAATTTGATTAATGATTTGAAATTCTTGAATCAATTGTTTAAAAAATTGATTGGATAAAAAAATTTAAAAAAGGTTGATGTTTAAATGTTTGGTAATGATCAATACCTCTATACAAAATAATATGAATGTGTAAAAATTTGGAGTTTACAAAACAAACCAACTTTAATTCTACAGAATAAATTGTTTATTTAGGAGATGGATATTGTTTGAGCTTTTATAATATTTATTCGACTGTAATTTATCCAATTTACCCTATTTAGACATAGAGCAAATTAAGATTATTCCACATTTACTAATTAAATAGAAATAAAATATCAAATAATTCAGTTTATATATTATATGGTAATAAAAATTATTCGATATTATCATATATTTAATCAGATTAAAAAATTTAAGAGTTTTCTTCATATGATGCTTTTGAGTTTAGCCCAGATAATGAAAATTTAATTTTTGTTGAAGGAGAAAAATGTGTCATCTATAACTTAAATAAAAAAAGGAAATCAATTAATTTTTCTTTAATGAAAAATCTGGAAATATCAGTTATCAATTATCATTATCAAATGACAAGAAGATTTTAGTATCAGTAACTGCATGTATTAGGCTTTATAATATAAAAAAGATATATGAACCTGAGTTTATTAGAATAATTTAAGGGGTAAACGATTTAGTTAATTCAACATTTTCATCTAATAATCTTGCATTTGGGATTAATTACAATTAAATGAGAATACAGATATAACTAACAAAAAATTTTTTAAATCAATTCATTTGAATGAAGATTATTAAATTTAAGATGATTTCATTTTATTTTCCAATTCTGAGAGAGCACTTATTTACATGAAAAATCATTAAAGGTCAAAAATTTGAAATAAAACAAAATAGAATGTGATATTGAAAAATTGGAATGTTAAGCATTTGCCATTTAAAAAAATAAAAATAATCTCATATTTTCTTCGAGCAATTAAATATATATATATGAGTAAAATAGAATAGTTTATTCAAAATTTCATAAATTAGGTGAAAATATTGCTTTTCTGAATTTTTCATTCTCCAAGATTCCCAATTTTTAGTAGGATGTGGAATTAATAAAATAATTTATTGTTGGAATTTTAAGGCTAGAAAAGGTATTGCTAAATTCTAAGGTCATTCAGAATAAGTGAATATAGCGAAGATATCTTAAGATAATTTAACTGTGGCATCTGGTAGTCATGACAAATTAATAAGATTTTGGAATTTATAGGAAAATTTCAACAGAATGGCTTAGGATGGACATGAAGATCAAGTTAATCATTTAGAATTTTCAGTAGATGGTTTGATTTTATATTCTAGTAGTCAAGATAAAACTCTTAAATTATGGAATATGTAACAAAAGATTCTATTTCTTTCTAAAGATTTTGAATTTGGGATAGACTCCTTCTCATTTTCTGAAAATTAAAAGTCAATCATAATCACTTAACTAGAAAGAGTTGAATTTTGGCATATTTAATAATATCAAGTAATGCAAAAATCTTCGACAGAGTTAATTAATGGATTTAGATCTTAAAATTCTTCAATAAAAGCAAATATTAAATAGATTTAATTTTTATCTAATAAAAGTGAGTTCATTACTTTATCTGATTACAACTATGAAAATAAAGGTAAAAAAGAACAATTTTCAATAGCTGAAATTTAAGATATATAGAAACTAGAGGAGCAAATTTCTCCTAAAATTTATTAATATGCTGAAATTTAAATTGAACTTTACTAAGTATCTAGAAACGGCTAATACATTTGTTTTTTAGACTCTGATAATTAATTAAATCTTGGAGATAATTTTTAAATTAAAGAGAAAAAGAAACCATTAAAAGTCACTTACATTTAAAAATTGAGATTTTTTTATAAATTTCTTTTTTTTCAATTATTTATAATTCAATTGAAATTGAAAGCCTATAAAAATTGTTTTATTGCTGTTTTTTTACCTAATAAAAAGATAATTGTATCTAATAAGGATTATTAAATAGAATTTAGAGATTGCGAAAATATTGATTCATTAGGTTTAAACTCAGTAATGTTGTATAAACAATCTATCATAAGGAGAAAATTAAAAATTTAATAGTATCTAGAAAGGAAAAATTATTATCATAAATTTGTTAAGAAGGTTTTTTCAAACTTTGGAATCTAATAGATTTACACAAAATAAAATTAACAAGGATTATTTATTTTGAATAAGATATAAATAAATTTAGATTTACAAATGATATCTATTGATATAGCATAGTACATTCCACAAAAGAAAATACAATGTATTAGTTGGAATATCAAGATCTAAAAAAGTCTCATGTTAAACAAGTATTTATTTCCTTTTATTATTTTCTTTATTTTTCAATTATGTCTAAATCAAGAATTATCGCATTATGTGGAGAAACTTTAGCTCTTTGGAATTATGATACAAATGAAAAAAAATAGTTGATTTTGAGGAAAACTTTAGAGAAATCATTAATTAAGTAGTTTTCATAAAAAAATAATAATATTTTAGTAGCTGCAAAAAGTAACGAAATTCATTTATTTTCTATAAAAGTAAATTCATTAGAAGTTAAAATAATTAAAATATTAAATTGTAATGAAAGTACCCTCACATGTATATAAATTTTAGACGAAAACTCAATGATTATATCAGTTTCAGAAGATAAAATTTGAGATTTTGGAGTCTCAAGTAATTTTCTATAATTGCAATTTTGTGTGGTTTTGTTGAAACTATTTAAATGATATCAATTTCTCCAAATTGTACTGATATGGTAGTTGCTATGAAAGATGGATCAATCAGACTTAATAATCTTTCATTTCCATCAAAATTTTCACTTTTAACATTCTAAACAACTAAATAGCAATGAAAATTATATCATTTGTTATAAAATCTTTGGAAGATAAAATTTAATATCAGCAAAAAATTGTGTTTTATAAGATTCAATAATGAAACAAGATGGAAAATCATTAGAAACTCTTTTTTTGCAAAAAGCGGATATAAATAAAAAACAAGAATAATAACAATAACATTGATATATATATATCATCAAATATATTATTATTAATAACAGATTCTCTATAATAATTATTTATATAACTAAAGTTCTATGAATCAATTTAGAAAAATAAAATATCATTAAAATTATATTATTTATTATTTATTTTATTATTTGTTATAATAATTTTGATATTAATTAGAAATTTATATTAAAGCTGAGTTATCATTAAATGTTAAAAGACTTCTCAGCAATTATTTTTTGTAATTTCTCAGAATATAGTTGTAGATATACATTTGGGAAAATGTCATATTAATAAAAATAGTTTCAATATGGATCTTGAGAAAAATAATTATTAGATGATGGGTTTGTTCATTCCTATAAAATTCATTTATTCATTAATTCATTGTTTTAGTCAGATATATCACTAAAATACCTTAAGGATGTAATTTATACTATTTATTACTAATTAATAATTATAAAAATCAGAATAATTATACATATATAATGATAATTAAATTTCATGGAATTTAAAAATTAAATTAAAAAGATAATTATGTTCTTTATATCATTCTTGCACTCTGAATTTGTTTAATCAACTTTTTAATATGTATTCCAGAGAGGGACACAAATTCTGTATTATTACATCTGGTTTAGTTAAAGTCTTTCCTGATTAAAAAGATAATAAATTTTTAAAAGATTAATAATCTGGAGATTATTTTGGATCGTCTAATTTAATTTTAACTTGGAAGTGGAAGAGTTACATTACTTGCAATAACAGATTTAAAATTTTTCAAAATGTAATCTTAAATATATTTCAATTTTCATATTGTTCTTATTAATTTAAAATAAAGCTTAAATTTCCAAGATTGATTTAAGTTATTATTTAGGAGAATAAAGGCTGAAAATATAATAATTCTAATTTTTTGACATAGAAAGAATTAAAGGAAGCTTTTTTGATTTTTGAATTATCTTAATAGTTGTTTTATTTATTTATAAGGAAAAATATTATTCAAAAAAGACAATATTAAAAATTATGGAATTTCTAAAACATATATTAGCAAGAGTAGGATAATATGAAAGTAAAGATATAATCAGCTAGCTTTCTTTTAATTTAGATCAGGGTAAAACGAATAGCAGTACATCAAAGTCTTAACTTAGAGGAGGAGGATGTATAACAACATCAAAGATAAATAATAAAACACCATAAATCTTTCGTAAACTTCCTTTGAATTATGTTATAAAAATGAAATAAAATTGTCGAATACTCATTGACAAAAGTGATTAGCAATTAGATCCTTTTTAAAGAGATGAAATAATGATGTCATTATAATGGTTTTAAGATAATAGAATTTGGATTTATGAAATATGTAAAAATGATGATTATACTAAAATGGTTTACGATGCTGCTAAAAATTGTTTTACATAGCTTATTTCGAAGATTTTAATTTATCTAAAGGGTTCAGGATGTATATGCTATTATGTTTTGGAAGTTTGTAATGATTTCTTATTAATAATATATACTTATTTAGTAAAAAAAGGCATTTAAGGTTAAGATCGTTAGATTTAAGTGATATCACTGATCGAATTATTGCCAATAGTTGATTTAATTTAATAAGACCTTGAAGTGCATCAAAATTTTTGGATTAATGGATTGAACTTCTAAATAACACTAATAAAAATAGTTTTAATAAATATTAACAAAAATTACCAAAAGCTAATATGTGAAGGAATAAAATTGGCATCAAGTGGGATATAATCCTTGATTACTTTAACAATAACTGGCGACTTTACGAGCAATTTATTTAATTTCGCAAAGTTTGTGTTTAATGAAAAATACAATTAGTACACTTTTCCTATACAAACATATGAGATATATTACTATTTGTTTTTGTTGAAATGGAGCATTATCAGAAATATTTAAGAAGGGAATAATATTAATGATTAAATTACAAAACTTAAATATGGATATAATAAATAAATTTCGAAATCTCATAATTGGATTGTACATTATTGCTGGATTCATGCTTTTTCAGACTTGATTTCGTATAGATAATTGATATCCAAAACTGATTAGTTTAAAAATTTGGAATTAGTAAGAAAGAATTATCTATGGAATTAATTAATAAAGTCCAATTTTATATAATTATTGTCTTATGACAAATCAATGGCAAAAGTAAATAATAATATTTCTTTTGACTCAATTGATCCATAATCAGCAGAAATTTTAATCGATTCTGGCGTCGAAAGAATAAAATTATTTTAAAAAAGACTTTTAGAAGAAAAATTTATCTGTGAATAAGGCTTCTTTTAATTTTACATAGATTTTTCATTTGAAAAGGCTTAAAAAAAAAAAATAGAAGACTAAGTTTCATAATAACATTAATTATTGTACACAAATGATTAATTGTATGCTTTAGAAAATTTAAATCAACTTTTAATAGGATTAATAGATACTATTGAAAAATAATAAAATGCCTTTTAAAATTCATTTTTTTCATTATCAAAATCAAAGGATGATAAAAATAACTTTCAACCTAATAAAGAAAAATTTGAAGAATCAACTAAATAATTAACTGGAAACCTATTCAAATTTTTATATTTTCTATTTGAATTGAATGTCTTAATCATAATAGAAAAAAATAGGTTAATTATTTGTAAAAACTATTTAGTAAAAAAATAAGAAGGTAGCACAGAAAATACAAATGAGAATTAAAATGATAAAAAGGGTAATAAGGATAAAAAGGGTAAAAATAATAATTATCAAGAAAAATTGAAGAAATTTTAGAATTACGAAAATAAAATTGATTATTTGTATGAAGAAATTTGGCTTTAAACAATATTTGAAAAAATCCCTGATTATTATACTAACTTTTTCAATTTCATGAATCAATTTAAAGAAAAAGTATATAAAACTCTGAATACAGAAGAATAAAAAGAATTTGAAAATAAAATGAAAGAATAATTCAGTGATTCATTCATTTGCAAAACTCAGAAAATTGTTGATTAATTTGTTGAATACTTTTAAAAGTTTTAATCAGAATTATAACAACATATTTAAACAGTGGAAATTCAAAATGATGATTCTTAGATTGATAAAAAAATTTAAGCTGATTTAATAAGTTTTATTAAAATTAAGGATAAATATTTTAAAGAGGATGAATATTTTAATATTAAATTTGATCTTGCATAAAAATTTGAAACAATTGAAGTTATCTAACCATATTAAATTAACATTTAATACTAAATTATGAACATGGAAATATTTAAAAGATATCTGATATAAAAAGTATATATTTTGGCAAAATTACACACCAATATGAGTATTCAATTGAATATTAATGCTAAAAAGCCTGAATAATAAAATTTTAATTCAAAAGAATAACATTCTAAATTAGGAGATAAAGTAGATTTGATCTAAAAATAATAGAAAGATCTTGAAAGTTTATTTAAAGAACTTTAGAGAGATGAAAATGTCTTTTAAAAAATGTTAAAATTGGTTGAAAAAACAACAAATTAAATAAAATAAAATTCTTGGAACTAACAAAGTGATAAAGCCCTTGGTCTTTAAGTTTAAATTTATAATGAACTACATAATTTAATGTTGTCCTCAAAATAAGATATTGATTAATGCAATAAACTAAAGTTGCCCTCATAATAAGATATTTATTAATGCGAAAAAAATATTTACAATTATTATGTTTAATATCATTAATATAACTAAGATAAGAATAATATATAACAATAAATTTCTGCTTAAAAAAGCGCTGATTACGAAGAAGATTTGAAACAGTTTTCATAAAAAATAAAAGAATTAAATGAATTAATTAAATAAGTTAAATTTTTTATTGAAGATTTGCATGATGTATCGTAATTAATTGATTTAAATTTATCATATTTGGAAAAAGTAGAAAAAAATAATCAAAAGAATAGTTTAGATATATTCAATTAAAAAATTGAATAAACTCTCAAAAAAGTTAATTTCCATAAATAACTTTAAAAAATATCTGAGGATTTTAAGAAAATTGATGGTCAAATTTCGTTTTTTTAAAGTAGGAATTTATCATTTGATGATTTTGCTTCTATTTTTTGTTACAATTCTAAATTATTTAATTTCACAACTGAAAAAGAAGGACACTATACAGAGATAGAGAAAGCATTAAAAGAAACAGATGAAGACTATAAAATTTTATTAGATAGTTTATATGAATAAGAAATAATAGTAGAAAGAAAATTCTTAGATATAAACAAAGATTACATAGTTAGAGAATGTTTTTTCTTTCATCTTATAAAAATTTATTCTTAAGTTCCTGAAAAAGATATTTAATTAGATTGTTAAGAATATATCAAGCGTCTATGGTTAATTGAAAAAGATGAAAGTGTAAGAGCATTACTTAAGAATAAAGAAATAGTAGAAATGTAAAAATTATTATTTTCTCCTGATCTTAAATCATTTTCTAACTCCATTAAAGAAGAAATGAATTAAAAATTAAAATAAATGGAAGAATTTGAATAGAAAATTCGTTTTGAAGGCAATTTATCTAATAAAGAAAGGTTATAGTAATAATTAACTATTTAATATGAGGAATTTGAAGAGTTTTTAGCGAATATCACAGAAATGTCATAATAATTAGATATTTCTTTGATCTTTTTAAAAGAAATCTAGAAAAATATAAAATAATTGAAACAGAAGATAGACGATCTTTAAGAATCATTAAAGTAAATAGGTAATGATATTAGAAAGTTGAGAGGAAAGAATTATTAGGAATTATTATAAATTAGAAAAGATAAGGTGGTAACATAAGCCTCTATCATTGAACTTGATTCTGTATATATTACTTTAAAAACTGAAGAAATCGATCCAAAAACAGGAGAAATAAAGAAATCTTTGCAGGGTTCTGATTAATCGGATTTATTGATAGAAGACATTAAAGGAAATAATAAGGATAATAAAAGTGAAGGGGAAGTTAATTAATTTATTTATGATGAATAGGAAACAGATGTAATGTTAATTAAAGGTTCAGCAGGATCTGGAAAAAGTAGAGCAGCTAGAAAAATTGAGTATTATTTATGGAAATAGATCTAAGTCCAAGAGGATTGGAACAATTAATGGATTCCAATTCACATTTTATTACCATAATTAAAAGATCCTAAGTTCAATCTATTAGATTAAGCTCTTGAATCTGAAAATTATGGATTTGATAAACTATAGTTGAAGGAATTTAAAGAAGCTATTTTAAAAAATACAATTAGAGTAGTTATGATACTTGATAGCTACGATGAGATGAAGTAGGATTGTATATAATCCAATTTGATACATACAAATAGACTTATATAAGAGCTTGATCTTAGTCCTAATAATAATAAAGTAAAAAAAGCAAAATTTATAATAACAACACGAAAAGAAATTTTAACAAGCATGGGATATTAAACTTGGTTTTTTGGAGAAAATACATAAACTTTAAAGGAAGTAGAAATCTTGAATTTTAAAATGAAATAAAGTGATCAGTATTTAGAAGATTATGTAATATTGAGTATTAAAAGAAGAATTAAATTTCTATATGATTTTGTTAAGTAAATAAAATAAAAAGTTATAGACATTGAAGAATTTAAAAAAATTTGGGAAAAAATAAATGATTAAGTTTTAAAGAAGAATGATAATTCTGATTAAAATAAATTACTTGATGATGGACAAATAAAAAGAATAATAAAAATTTTAAAAGAAAACTCAGCATTTTAATATGTTTAAGATGATTAATTAACTATCTTAGAAAAAGAATTAGGTGCTTTATGGAGTGTTAAATAATACTAAGAAACTATTAAAAACTTAAAAATTGAGCATTTTAAATCAACCCCATTCATGCTCGAAATTGTTGTTTAAACTCTTCCAAATTTATCGAAAAAATATAATGGTTCCAATGAAATTAAAGAATTGTTTTCGAAAAACTATCTGAAACTCAAAAGAAAACATGATTTATCTTAAAAATAATTGAAAAAATATTCTTAATAAATAAAGAAGAATTAAATTGAATAAAATAAAGTTTAATAAAATGAAGTTTAATAAAATGAAGTTTAATAATAATAAATTTAAAAAGAATTAGCTTAAAAAGAATAAGCTGAAATTGATTAAGATCAGTAGAATTTAAAAAGTCTAAAAATCCTTCTTGAATAATTAGAAAGCTTAAGATTTTTTGAAAAATATTCAATTACAGATATCAAATCATCTGAAGATTTAATCTAAAAAAATATATAACAATTTTAATAAAATGATGATCTGAAATTTGTGATACCAGCTTTATAAATGAAAACATTTACTGTTTATGAATTTTATTAAAACTTTATAGAATTCTATCATGATTAATAAATTTAGAAACTGAGACAATTAGGAAAAATTGAGAATGTTGATAGTTTTACAATAGATTTAATTTAATTTTCAGAATCTTTAGCTTTAGAAATGACAATGAAGTAACTTACATAAATTAATTATGAGCAAAAAGGTAGATTATAATTGAAAAATAACTATTTTGATTAAAACGATGAGGGGAATTGGATAAAGGATTATTTTGATGATTTGGAAGATGAATATAGAAAACTTGTTCGAAGTTCTGCATTGATTAGTTTGAAAGGAAAAAGTTATTCATTTAATCATAAATCTATTTAAGAATTCTATGTAGCCAAACATATAAACAATCTAATTAACGAACTTGAGTTGAAAAATAATTAAATAACTGAAAAATGTGAAAAAAATTTGGAGAAATCCCTTTTTAATAACAATAAATTTAATATTTCCTTTGAAAATTATGCTGGATCTTTTGATAAACTAAAAGATAAGATAAGAATGGATGAATAAATAAATGCCAAATTAATAATAATGGCTAAATTATCAAAAAAAAAAAAGAAAGCATTTATAACTGCTTCCTCAAATAGCTTTTGTTTATTAAGCTATTTATAAGTATATTTAGGAGATTAAGACTTTTCAGAGATTGAAATAGAAAAGACAACTTTCAGAGGATTATCTTTCTATAACACTAAATTTAAGAAATCAATTCTTAAAGATGTTGTTATTGATTCTTGTTTATTTGATGAGGCAAATTTGGAAAAAGCAGAATGGGAAAATTTGATTTGCTCAGAAAAACCAAAATTAGATGGGCATAAAGGTTAAATAATAGTTATGCAATATTCAAATGATGATAAATATATTATAACTGGAGATTCTGAGAATTTTATTAAATTTTGGGATGTCTAAAATTACAAAGATTTAGAAGAATTCATAGCAACTACAGGCAAACCTTTTGAATTGTTATTATCAGCAGATGATCATCTGTTATTTATAGCATAGGATAACAACTTAATAGAATCATGGATAATAAATGATCTAAAGAAGATCAAGAAAACTGAGCACATTATTCGTCCATAAGAAAAGATCATATCATTGCAACTATCATAAAATGAATAATAACTTTATGTTGTAGATAAATCAGGTTTAATTTAATGTTGGGATATAAATTAGATTAAAGAAAATTCTGAAGTGAAAGATGGGTTTATTTTATAAACTGGAGAAGCTTAATTAATTTTAATTTAGTTCTACTCAAATGGAGAATTGTTAGCCTCATATTCTAATGATTAAAATATTAGAATTTGGAATGTTGAAAAATTAGAAAAGGTAGATGAAATCAAAATGCCTTCTCCAATTTAGTACTTTATAATTAATACGGACTATATTGCTTGCATAAAAGAGTCTTATATTAATAATTAAATTATTATTTGGGATTTTAAAAATAAAAAATGGGATGAATAACTTCTAAGTTCATCAAAATATAGAATTAATTCAATATTATTTACTCCTGATAATAAATAATTATTATATGGGGTTGAAGATGCAGTAATAATTCAAAATATAAACGATATTTGTAATCAAGAATAGTATTATAAATTAAATAATTGCACTTGCATAGCTTTCTCTCCAGATTAAAATTTGATTGCTTCAGTTAATGAAGATTAAATAATATTCTGGGATTTAGAAACAAATGCAGTATTAAATGTTTTAGAAAATGAAGGTCCTAAAATTTAAGAGCTCTTATTTATTGAAAAAAGAACAGAATTATTAAGCTATCATAATGGTGGAAATTTAAAACGTTGGTCAGTATAGGAATGTAAATTAATAACAACCTATCACGATTGTTATTTTCATAAGAATATAACAATATCCTCTGATTCTGATATGGTAGCCATCTATACAAAAACAAAAACTAAAATTGCAATAATAAGGTTAAATTAACAATAATTTTAAAAAAGGGCTGATGAACGCGCTTATAATGAAATGAATCCTACTTCTATTTCTTATGATGATAAATTATTTTTAAATGGCAATTCAATTATTATGCCAGAAAGTATTGAGAATATTCAATTTGAAAATCACAATAATTATTTTCGATGCGGCGTATTTTCCAATTCATCTCTATTATTTGCTAGTTTTAGTGATGATTAAAAAATTCGAATCTGGACTTTTTCAGATTTAATATTTAAGAAAAATTAAGAAATTGAATTTGCAGGTCAAATATCTAAAATGGCGTTTTCTTTTGATAATAAATTTTTGGCTCTTATAATTGAAGGAAAGAATTTGATAAAAATTTTGGAGAATAATGAAGAAAAATATGAATTAGAAGAATTTATTGATAAAAATACAGATCTATATTTTTCTTATGATAATTAATATTTGGCCTATTTTATTGAAAATGAAATAAAAATTTGGAAGTTCACTTAGGATGAGAATGCTTAGATTATTTAAGAAGATGAAAAGCTTTATATTTAAGCTATAGCTTCTTCTCCAAAAATTAATTTATTTGCTTCAACTGATTGTGAATTGAATATTAAGTTTTGGAAATTTGATACGAGAGAACAATTATATAAAATTGAACTAGGAGAACAAGTTAAATGTTTATGTTTCTCATATGATGGACAATATTTAATTAGCGGAGGAGAAATGCTGAGATTATGGAATGTGAAAGATATCTATTAAATTAAATTAAAAGGAGTATCAGAATTCTTTTGTGATTCTTAAATAGAAAAAGTCTTTAGTTTGCATGAGACATAAGGTATTACTGTTATTTCAAACTCTAAAATGGGGAAGATTTTATTTGATCAATTTGAATTTTTAGGCATCTTAGTATAATCAGAATAGGTGTAAACTGCATATGAGTTTTCAAAGGATAATGAATTCATTGTTGGCGGAATAGAAAAATAAGTTGTTATTTGGAATACTAAGAATAATTTCTTAATTAAGAACAGATATGATTTTGAAGATAAAATCGAATCAGTTAGATATTGTTAAGATAAAAAAAGACTTGTTGTTGCTTTAAAATTTGATATATATTTTTTGGATATTAATTCACCAAAAAAAAGTAAAGTAATTCCAAATTTTTAATTTCAATCTATTACAGATGCTTAAATGTTTGATAATGATCAATACCTCTATACAAAATAATATGAATGTGTAAAAATTTGGAAATTACAGGATGAGCCAGCTTTAATTGATTACTTTAGTCTAAAGAATAACTAAATTGTTTATTCAAAAGATGGAAATTATTTGAGCTTTTATAATACTGATTCAGCTTTTATTTATCCTGTTTAAAGACAGACTAAATTAAGATTATTCCACTTTTACAAATTAAGTAGAATAAAATTATCAAAAGATTCAAAATATATATTATATGGTAATCAAAATTAATCGGTGTTATCAGAATTTTAATCAGAAAAAATTATTAAACAGTTTTCTTCATATTATGCTTTTGAGTTTTGCGCAGATAATTAAAATATAATTTTTGTTGGAGATGAAAAATGTGTTATATATAGCATCAAAAATGAAAAGGAGATCTTTGAAATTAAATGTAAGGAGAAACTTGAAAATATTAATTATCTATCATTTTGTAATAATATTTTAGTACTAGAAACTACATGCATTATGGTTTTCAATTTAGAAAATATATAATAATCTTATTTTATTGGAATAATATAAGGTGTAAAAGGCGTAGCAAATTTAACAACTTCATCTACATATCTTGCATCCGTAATAAATAAAAATCAAATTATGTTCACAAATTTAACGAAAAAAAAATTTATTAAATCTATTCATTTAAATGAAAAATTATAGAAAATGAATGGTTTGGTTTTATTCTCCGATTACTAAAAAGCAGCATATTTAGAGAATGAATCATTTAAGGTCAAAAATTTGGAAGAAAAAAAGATAGAATATTATACTGAAGATAAATTGAAATGCTAAGTATTTGCCATTTCAAAAAATAAAAAGAATATCATATTTTCTTCAGGCAAATAAATATTTGAATATGTGTAAGATACAAAATAACATTCAGATTTTAATAAATTAGAAGAAAATATTGCTTTTCTGAATTTTTCATTCTCCTAAGATTCTCAATTTTTAGTAGGATGTGGAAATAATAAAATAATTTATTGTTGGGACTTTAAAGCTAGAAAAGTTATTGCTAAATTCTAAGGTCATTCAGAATAAGTGAATATAGCTAAGATATCTTAAGATAATTTAACTGTGGCATCTGGTAGTCATGACAAATTAATAAGATTTTGGAATTTATAGGAAAATTTCAACAGAATGGCTTAGGATGGACATGAAGATCAAATTTATCATTTAGAATTTTCTTTAGATGGGTTGATTTTATATTCTAGTAGTCAAGATAAAACTCTTAAATTATGGGATATGTAACAAAAGATTCTATTTCTTTCTAAAGATTTTGAATTTGGGATAAAATCCTTCTCAATTTCTGAAGATTAAAAGTAATTTATAATAACACAAAAGGAAAAAATTGAATTCTGGGATATTTAATAAAATTAAATAATGCAGAAATTAGAAGATAAATCTTAAATGATTTAAAGTTAATGCGATATTTAATAGATTTAATATTTATCTAATAAAAATAAAATAATAACTTTATGTGTTGATAAAGAAAAAAATTCTTCAAAAATTGAGATATGGGATATAGATAAAAGAAAGGATGATAATCCCAAAATTAATTAATTTGCTGACCCAAAAGAAATTACAATATCTAAGTTGAAAGATTATGATCTTAAAAAGTCTCTAGCCAAACAAGAGTTTACTTCTAATGATTGTATTCATCATTTTTCAATTAAGCCTAACTAAAATATTATTGCATTAGGTGGAAAAACTTTATATCTTTGGAATTATGATAAAAATGAAAAATAAAAAGTTGATTTAGATTAAAATTAGGAAGAAATCATTAGTTAAGTATTTTTGGGAAATAATGTGGATATTCTAGTAGCTGCAAAAAAAAACAAAATTCATTTATTTTCTATAGAAGTTAATTCATTAGAATGTACAGAAATTAAAATATTAAATTGTAATGAAAGTACCATTACATGTATATAAATTTAACGTGATGACCAAATTATTATATCAGTTTCAGATGATAAAATTATAAGATTTTGGAGTCTCAAGTAATTTTCTATAATTGCCATTTTGCGTGGTTTTGTTGAAACTATTTAAAAGATATCAATTTCTCCAAATTGTACTGATATGGCAGTTGCTATGAAAGATGGATCTATCAGACTTTATAATCTTTCATTTCCATAAAATATTCATGATTAAAATTCTAAAGAACAAAATGAAAATTATATCAAATGTTATAAAATCTTTGGAAGATAAAATTTATTATCAGCAAAAAATTGTAAAATAACGGATTAAAATAAAGAAAATGAGAAAAATTAATTATAAATACTGTTCCAGCAAAAAGGAGCATAGCTTATAAAAGAAGGATGAAATTTAAATGAACTTATTAAACATGATTTTATTAATAAAAGCTTTAATTTAAATTTTTTTTAACATTTATAAATTTCGATTGATTGGGATTCAATAAAATTTTTCTAAATAAACATTAATCTATCATCAAAACTCGAAGCGAAATAATCATTTGGATAGTCAAATAATCCTTTAAAGTCATTCAAAGGTAATTCTCATCATAGTTGAATTGGTTGAATGGACAAAATATGATTCAGTTAATATTGAATTCCATTTTTATAATTTTCAGTTTCATCAACTTTTTGTCTGTTTCATCATTTACTATGATGCAATCGATAATAGCATTGAAGTGCGAAGATCCACTAGAAAAATTTTGTGCAAAAGTAACTCAAAATTATTGAAAAGAAAAAGAAGTGTAAAGAAGCTAATAATCAGACCATTTAAAGAAAAGCATTTAATTCATTTTATTAAATTTGTATTAGTACCTTAACTAAATATTCTATTTATCAAATTATAAATTGTTTCATAGATAATATAGTATTGATACTTACAATATTTAAATTGATAACATTTCTTGTATTTTGGATGATATTAATTTTCAAATATGCTAATATTAAAATGTAAAAAATTATGTATCGAATCAATAAATCTAGGTAAATCAATATATATTAATAATATGGATTTAAAACTAAAAATTCAAAAGACTTAAGAAAGTACTAAAAAATAGTTTTGTCTCGAGATGAGGAATAATCTTATTTCTGGGTTTATTCAGCATGTAATGAATATTTAAAAAAGCTAGGATACTGGTTGAAAAATGACCTCAACTAACATCGTTTATTTTTTATTCGATATTTAGTCGTAAAAGATATGGCATAAATACTAAATTAAATAAGCAACTTAGTGTAAATCTACCTATGTACTTATATCATGAATGATCTATGCTTTTTCATAGAAAAAAAAAATAGGAACATTGACTTTACATATAACAATCATCATTTTAAAATATAAATGTACAGTAATTCTTGTTATTGCATAGATCAACTGCAAATATCAACTATTTCTATTCAATAATGAAATCAAATAAAGATATTAAAAAATATAAATTATTTAAACTTGCAAATTAAAATTTTTTTTAGGTACTTGTGCACCTATAAATTGATAACATCTTATATTTACTAACCATATAATTCACATATTGAATTTCTTGCAATTCAATCAAGCTAATGAATGCATCAATAAAATGTGAATTGCTTAAATTAAAACTATTAATTACTTAGCTCATAGAAATAGAATTTTAGATATTATAAATCTAATACTTATAATTATTTATTGATTATATAATTATTATATATTTATCATGTCTTAAGTAATACTTTTAAATGAGCAATTACTATAGCTTCAGTTATTAAATTATATCTTCCTAATTAATAATCATCTTGCATTTCTTTCCCTCTATAAAATAGTTTCATCGATTCACATTAAATTTAATTTCTCTTCTGTAATTCAACTACTACTATTTCTTTCAAATCTAAAACACTCTGGTTTTGTTTACATTCTACTTCCATATCCTTACCGTTTAAATGAACACTTCGAATCATTAATTTTACAGTTGCATCACTATAATTTTATATTAAACCTCTATCCTCAAATTTCTCTCTTGAAAATTCTATTGGATCATTGATACAGAAGATTGGTACATCATATTTTTATCCTAATTTATCATATACATGCTATAAAGAATCCTTTATTGGTTTTAGTTCAGCTTCCTATACTAGAAATCTGGCAGTTTCTAAAATACTTTTATTTGATACCTTCTTCTTCATTTATTATGGATCTCAAAATCTACCAAATCTCTTGTCTCCCTTCAACTCTCGTTTCTTAAATCAATTATATTCATAATAACTTACCCCAAAATATATTTCTCAGTTTCTCAATCTAACCAATATCAATATGACTTTTATAAGCTAATGTTTTCTTTAAACCCTTCCCACTAAATTGCTCATCCAATATATCAAAATAGATTTTATATTATTCATTCACATCCTAAATTACATTACCATTCTATTGCTATCTTGCTATAACTCTAGGCATTCTTGGCTATTCATGACCTCCTTGATTATTTCCGTTCCTATTTTCGTTATGAGAACAACAACTACCCATCCTTTTTATTTTAATTAATTTTTTATATTCAAATATTATAGTTTTCACATTCTGTATTATTTCCTTCCTTTTATCAACTTCTCCCATTATTTTTTAACTTTAAATAATTTTTTATCTTCTCATTCATGATAAATTAAAGTTTATAGTTGGTTTTAGACATAAAATATTGAATTTTAAAGAAAGAAAACTTATAGATAAATTATTTGTTAACAATTTGTAATACACTTCAAACTGAAATTATAAAAACAAATAATTAATTATTAATTAAATTGAAGTTATAATTATAAAATATTATTAATAATTCTACTTTTTGGTTTAACTACTTAATTTTAGTTTAGTCTTTCATTTTATCAACTAAAAAAGGATAAAAACTTTTTTTTGTTTTTATCATTCAAAGAATGTAAATAATAATAGATTTATTTTTTAATGAGATTTTAATTCAGTAATCAAAATAATTATCCCAACCAAGGTAGTTTAAGCTTCTTCCTCTGATTTCTTGTTATCTAAATTATCAGTATTAATGAAAATATTTTAATCAATAAAGATTTTATCTACAAACATTTAAAAACGCTTAATAGTATAAAATTTTTAATTTAAAAATAATTACGATATTGTGCGATGTTTTCATAACTCCAAAGTAAATCTAGACCTTTTTTTACTTAATTACTTGATAATCCTGCTCTATTAAGAAATGCTAAATATTTCATTAATGAAAGTAGAATATCTTAATAAACTTAATCAGCATAAGCTGAATCTAATATAGTTCTATAAACTAATAAATTACCTAAAAATTTAGAAGAACTTAAAGAAATAATTATCTAAAATTTCTTATTGAAAGTGCTTATAAATTTAATGATGAATCATAACTTAAGAGTTAATATCTTCGCAAAATTAATTATCAAAAAGAAATTAGACCTAACTTTTCTGTTTAGATCCTTAAAAAGTGCTTAAGATAGATCCTAATCTATTGCTACTTCATTCTAAAGGCTTGAAATGGAAAGAACTAGATAACAGAAATTACTTGAAAAATAAAAAAATCTTAAAATCCGTGTGATTCATTAAAATCATTTATTAAAACAATTATCTTGTTTCTAGATTTATTTAAGATTAAATTTATCAAATATCTTAAGACTAAATCTTATCCGAACTTTCTAATCTTTTAATTTTAAAAAATAATCTCAACCATATGAAATTACAATTGATCATTATAGAAAATTGATTATGAATAAACAATATTAATAAATATTTTAAAGAACTATCTCTGTATAGTTATTGATTAATACTCGATTTTCAGCATTAGATATATAAAATTTAATTAATATTTAAAAATATCAGTTATAATAGAAGAAATCACGAAACGACTTTTTAAGTAATCTCAAATATATGACAGTTAAAATAATCTCTTAGCGTTGATTTTTTTTAATTTTGGTAATTACAGATATAAAATTAAAACTCATTTATGTTAAAAAAATTTATGAAGAAAAATGGAAAAAGAAAAAGAGAAACATCATTTTCATCATAGTTTCTCTATGATTTAAAATATTTTGCTTATCTTCTAAATAAACTTCCAATTATCATTTCTCTTTGTCAAAAATATTGGACTATAACATGAAATGATAGATATCCCTATTGATTATTGATTAGAATTGAAAGTCATTAAATTGAAAAAATGTTGCCATAGTAATTACATTTGCTAATTTGAATTTCATACATGCGTTTAAGTAGACAAACTTTCCACTAAAAGTTCCAATTTTGAAGTTATAGTGTTTTTGCAATTATAATTGAATACTTTAGTTTTTGTTTTTCTTGAATATGTATGAATAGTAATACAAAAATTTAATCATGAATTATTTACTAATTGAATTATATTTATTTTTAATGAATAATTCAATCCATAATTGGTTATTGTAATTATATCTAAGCAAAATAGGTATTATTGTTATTTTCTTAAATTGATTAGAAAAGCTCATCAAAATTATCATAAATTAATTTGAAGCTATAATCACTAACTTCAAGTTACACCTAATTTAATGATAATATATTACTGGATTAGGTTATTTTACTTTCATGAAAATTTAAGCCATGTTTTTAGGAACTTCACTTTTTGTCCATTAATAATTATAAATATTAAA